GTTCCCCTAGTCTTTGGGTGTGCGGTGATATACATTCCTTGTCCGCGGGAACGTCAGGTGATAGGGGTTGTATACCCTCTATGTTAGTCTATGTTCCCCTACCCTTTGGGTGTGCGGTGAGATACATTCCTTGTCCACGGGACCCTCTTGTGATAGGGGTTGATGTACCCTCTATGTTAGTCTATGTTCCCCTAGTCTTTGGGTGTGCGGTGAGATACATTCCTTGTCCACGGGAACGTCAGGTGATATGGGTTGATGTACCCTCTATGTTAGTCTATGTACCCCTACCCTTTGGGTGTGCGGTGAGACACATTCCTTGTTCACGGGACCCTCTTGTGATAGGGGTTGATGTTTCCTCTATGTTAGTCTATGTTCCCCTAGTCTTTGGGTGTGCGGTGAGATACATTCCTTGTCCACGGGACCCTCTTGTGATAGGGGTTGATGTACCCTCTATGTTAGTCTATGTTCCCCTACCCTCCTGGTGTGCGGTGAGATAAATTCCTTGTCCACAGGACTCTCGGGTGATAGGGGTCGATGTACCCTCTATGTTAGTCTATGTACCCCTAGCCTTTGGGTGTGCGGTCAGATACATTCCTTGTCCACGGGACCCTCGGGTGATATGGGTTGATGTACCCTCTATGTTAGTCTATGTACCCCTACCCTTTGGGTGTGCGGTCAGATACATTCCTTGTCCACGGGACCCGCGGGTGATAGGGGTTGATGTACCCTCTATGTTAGTCTATGTTCCCCTACCCTTTGGGTGTGCGGTGAGATACATTCCTTGTCCACGGGAACGTCAGGTGATATGGGTTGATGTACCCTCTATGTTAGTCTATGTTCCCCTACTCTTTGGGTGTGCGGTGAGATACATTCCTTGTCCACGGGACCCTCGGGTGATATGGGTTGATGTACCCTCTATGTTAGTCTATGTACCCCTAGCCTTTGGGTGTGCGGTGAGATACAATCCTTGTCCACGGGACCCTCGGGTGATATGGGTTGATGTACCCTCTATGTTAGTCTATGTACCCCTACCCTTTGGGTGTGCGGTGAGATACATTCCTTGTCCACGGGACCCTCTTGTGATAGGGGTTGATGTACCCTCTATGTTAGTCTATGTTCCCCTACCCTTTGGGTGTGCGGTGAGATACATTCCTTGTCCACGGGACCCTCTTGTGATAGGGGTTGATGTACCCTCTATGTTAGTCTATGTTCCCCTAGCCTTTGGGTGTGCGGTCAGATACATTCCTTATCCACGGGACCCTCTTGTGATAGGGGTTGATGTACCCTCTATGTTAGTCTATGTTCCCCTAGTCTTTGGGTGTGCGGTCAGATACATTCATTGTCCACGGGACCCGCGGGTGATAAGGGTTGATGTACCCTCTATGTTAGTCTATGTTCCCCTAGCCTTTGAGTGTGCGGTGAGATACATTCCTTGTCCACGGGACCCTCTTGTGATAGGGGTTGATGTACCCTCTATGTTAGTCTATGTTCCCCTAGCCTTTGGGTGTGCGGTCAGATACATTCATTGTCCACGGGACCCGCGGGTGATAGGGGTTGATGTACCCTCTATGTTAGTCTATGTTCCCCTAGCCTTTGGGTGTGCGGTGAGATACATTCATTGTCCACGGGAACGTCAGGTGATATGGGTTGATGTACGCTCCACCGGTCCTTCGCTTTGCTGTACCCTCTATGTTAATTTGTGTTCCCCTCGCCTATAATTATATTATGATATGCATATAAATAAATGTCTGGTCTGTAGATCAATTTCTGGTGTGTCCACCATGTTGGGCGATACATGCACGACACCTTGATGGCATACTGTTGATGAATTTGCGTTCAGCTGCCCTTGGTATTGACCGCCGTTCCGCCTGAAGAGTACTCTGCCCGAGAGCATCCCATCTCTCATGTTTAGGGAGGTAACAGCCAGACCAATGTCAGTATGCCTTCTTTTCGGAGACAACCGGTGACGACCTGAGCACGATCTGGTCTTGCATTGTCTTCTTGCAGTTCAAAATTTCTACCAATAAATCTAGCGAGTAGAACAACGACAGGACGCAGAATCATATGCGATACCGCCCTACACCATGATACTACTGCGCCCATACTGATCAGGGTCAAGAATTGTTGCTCTGGCATACCGCTCACCGCTACGTCGCCAACAACGTGTTCTGCCATCTATGAAACGGAGGCAAAACCTTGATTCGTCTGTAAACATGGTGCGCGACATTGGCGCACTGCCCGTCCCTGGTGTTGCCAGGCCTGCCCCAATCTTTGCCGCCTACGGTATGCTGCTAGGGTCACACCCTTCACAGCACGCCTTGCTTTCGGGCAGCTGTGTAGAGACGGTTTTCACCTTCATCTATTGTGCGGAGTTCTCTATCGATAACAGGTGTAGATCTGCATCTTTTGCGTAGTGCCTCCATCTATCGTACCCACAATTCGCCATTGTGTTTATTGATTGAGATACTCCGAGGCATTTGTAAGCGTGTGCTTAGCTCAGTTGCATTTGTTATTGAGAGTTCCCCTATGGACCACACTTACTGGCTTCTGTGTGCATCGCGTCTTGTTGATGCATGATGTGAATTTCAGGGTGAGTGAGTGAGTGAGTGAGTGAGTGAGTGAGTGAGTGAGTGAGTGAGTGAGTGAGTATGGTTTTACGCCGCTTGTAGCAATATTCCAGCAATATCACACATTGTACCCATCGAACTCGCTTTCGGTGTGACGAGTGAACACTTTAACCACTAGGCTACCCGACGCCCCTACAGTGATAAGACGGTGTGCACCTCAACGACAGCTACATTCACATCATTACTTACCTTATTTCTTGTCAGTAGTATAAAGGTATGTAACAGAAATATCCTGAAATATTGAAAATACAGAAATACGAAATCTAAAGCACTGTGTTAATATTATGGACACTTCAAACTAAATAACTCGTTCTGGTCATAGTATTTACGAATGACAAGTAAAATATTGCCAATTCTAAGATTTATAAAATGGTGCTGATTCTTGTCCCACACAGTCTTGAATGTCAGGACAGCTAACCCACTTGAAGTCAGAAAGCAGTTCACTCAAGACACCATTACAGTACCAACTGTACGACTCATCACAGACGTTTATGATACAAGCTCTGACACCCCATTCTCCCCTGTAGGAAATGACCGGTCCCTAGACAGGTTGTGACCGATAAATAAGGGTTATACTTTGTGACAAGCCTGAGCCTAGCGCAAAGCTACGTGGCAGACAAGTAAGCAGGTTACCTTGCCACGGTGAGGCACTTTCAATCACTGTGGCCACTAAGCACTTCTCACCCTAGAAACTTCAGTCCAACATAAGTGTTGCATCCTATCTGACGGCAAGCCTGGATTCCAAGCCTTTGAGATGTTATATCATTGTGAGTGACACTTCTGCAACATCATCACGATACAATAGGGCAAAACTAGAAGGACTTTCCGAGGACATAATTATACCCATTCCGCCATTTTCTTCCATTTTAGTTCCATGTTGATAGGAGCGGTCGGGTAGCCAAGTGGTTAAAGCGTTCGCTCGTCAGGCCGAAGACCAGGGTTCGATTCCCGACATGGGTACAATGTGTGAAGTCCATTCCTGGTGTCCCCCGCCGTGATATTGCTGGAATATTGCTAAACGCGGTGTAAAACAATACTCAATCACTCACTCCATGTTGATATATATTGTGAAGATCTGAGGCTTTATTTAACCCTTGGTTTGTTCCTACACTGCACGTGGAATAGTTTGACAACCCAGTGTCCGTCCTAACACAAGCTGAGAGTTTGGAGTACATAGAAACAATAAACTTACAAGAGATCCCCTTTGATTGTCATTTGCTGGAGACTCCAACATTTAACACAGTCAAAGGCCTTAGAGTAGTCAATGAAGAGACAATACAATCTGACCCTCTTCTTGTGTGATATCTAGATTCCTTTTGTTAAATACTTCAGTCAGTCTGTTGTCTCTTGTTGATTTTTGAAAATGTATTTCCCATTCTACCCCGGACCATGGATATTCTCTTGCGTTGACCTTTCATATTATATTTCAAGTCTAAGTTCGACACAATAACACAGGCCTCATTTTGTATATTTGGATGGAGCTTGCTGCTGGCGACCTCATATGCCTCAGATATTGCCGTTACGATGTCCAGCCCTCATACCCTAACAACATGATAATACAGAAGACCAAGAAAGTTTACTTTATTCTCTATATTTATTTTTCAAGAAATACGAAGGGAATGAGGGTGTATACAATGCAAGCATGTTACACAACAGAAGCGTGACAATTACGTTCAATGAAGCATAGCAATTACATTTTAAGTCAACTGTGGAATGACAAAGAATAAATAGATACCAAATAGCATTTCAGGTATACTGGAAAAGCAATATCTCTATCACATGTCTATCTAGAGAAAGGTTGAGTCGGTGGAACTGCCGCATCTGTTTCATATTTGCATCTATGCAGGTATATTCGGGTGACAAGAACTATCCACAAGACTGCTTGAAAAGAGGGAGCACTTCCATTTTCCAGTGGTCAACTTTCCCTTTGTGTGGAACAGTATCACAGCAGCTGATAGTGATTTATAAACACGTGTATAAGCCATGGTCGGAACCGTACAGTGGACCCTACTCTTTACTCTACTTTAAGCAGATATTTGTAATTATTATTACATCAAATTAAATTATCCCAAATAAAATTAAACGACACAATTTAAACCAATCAAAAAGGCGAGTGTCTTTTTATAATTATTATGAAGTTCCATATTTTCTTTTGTGTCATGCTTAACTGATTTATAGTGGAGGGATTGGACCAACATCATCACGCTAGAGAGTTATAGGGCAGCTGGTTTTCGCTGAGATAGTATAAGTATAAGTAAAAGTATAAGTAAAAGCGTATAGATAAAACAACCTCCATCCAAACACTACCATGAATAAATTGAAAAAAAACAAATCTCATCAAAAGAGATCACCAAAAGAGGGCCTCTTTGGTTTAAAAAGTATATTAGGAGGATAACCACCTTCTCGGGGAGGATGGATGCTGGAAATCAGTAAAATTTGTGCACGATGAAGCAAAAGATGCTACGTTTGTGTCTGGTTACAATCAGTAAAGTCAGCTTTTACAAACTTGAAGAATGTGATCAGTGAGTGGCCCATGAATCTAAGACTGAGACAGCAGTTCACATACAAATTCACCTCGCAACACTTCAGTAATCACTATCATCAGTGGAACTTGGAAGAAGCTGTTCCTGGACTGGGTCCACATTATCAGTGGAGCCTGGAGCAAACTGTATCTTGATTGGGTCCATCTTTCCTTCATATGCTCTGAATTACATGTTTACATTCTAGATGCACATTGCAGCTGTCAATGATGATATTGTTATTACCGTATTCATATATTCATTCGCAGGAAATGATTCTTCGCCATGATAGCGTTTCTTCAGGACAGTTAGGTTGCTTGACTCAAACTCCACAACAATCACTGACCTGTATTTGACATCCGCCATCTCCAGAAGTATCTTTGATGCTTTCACCTCATCCTTTTCCTTTTTCTCATCTGACAAGTAGACAACCTCATGGATTCCAGACTGAATGATCATCTGGGTGCAGTGGTTACATGGGAACAGAGTCACGAAAATCGTGCAGCCTTTCAAGTCAGCAGAGAACCTGTTCAGTATGGCGTTCAGTTCAGCGTGGCAGACTGGAAATGAATACTTTCATAATAAGAAGTGACTAGAACTGTTCCCTTTTCACAATAATCCACTTTCTGCTCAATCTCACTCCTCTCTTCCAGCCATGTTATACAATAATACGGTCAGGCTCTGTGATAGCATGCCCTGATAGCATGCCCTGAATGTATCCCCTGATAGCAAGCCCTGATAGGGTTATTGCACTTCATTGGACGTAATTGTCACGTTTCTTTTGTGTGATATGCTTGCATTATATACACTCTCTTGCCCTTGGTATTGCATGCTTGAACAATAAATAAACAGAATAAAATAGGCTTTCTTGTTTTGGTGTACTAGCATGTTGATAGGGTATTTGAGTTAGAATTTAACACCGAAACGGCATTAACAGAGGCATATGCGGGGGCTAAAAGATGGGTCCATCCAAATAAACAAAATGAATCCGGCGATCTTGAAAACTGTCTGTCTGTTCATGGACATATGGCCTACCTCTGGCTTAATGTACCTGATGTACGTCTGTTTACGTGCAAGCTCTTTGCCCCAAGGGTAAATATACCCACCCGTGCAAAAGGTAAAAAGTGGTTGTGCTATATGCACTGGTATACTTGGGTTAGTCCATTATAATATCAATACATTTAGCTGACAATGGACAGGTTTGGACGTTGTGCTCGGAGAAGGTTGGTTGGTTGGGTGGTTGGTTGGTTGTTTAACGCCCGCACTCAGCAATATTCCAGCTATATGACGGCAGTCTATAAATAATCGAGTCTGGACCAGACAATCGAATGATTAATATCATGAGCATTGATCTATCTATCTATCATGCATCAACCACGTCAATGAGCCTGACCACCCGATCCCATTAGTCGCCTCTTACGTCTTAGTTTACAAATCAACACAAATTACTGAACCGCAATTTCAATGGCAGTACACAATAGAGTGGTAGTGCCATATTCAATGGCAGTACACAATAGAGTGGTAGTACTATATATAGCAGATATAAATAATGTCAGTCACTTAAAAATCAGCAATATCTACTTTTCAAATAACTAACAAAGAAAACATTCAGCAGATATAAATAACAACAAAGACAATCGGATTGGAACAAAACAAGAACATATATAATGAGATGCTGATAACTTTCTACAGAACTGAGATGAAATATTTTCTTGCCAATGTCTGTAACAACCGGGTACCGGCTATCTGTTTGTAACTAAGACATTTTAAGGAAACTCGTTTCTTTCATTTCAAATAGGACACACGATAACCTGTTGTGTGTGCTTTGCTTGCAACCACAGCCCCATGTCTGTCTATTGTTCAGGCGATCAGCAAATATCGATCCACCCTTTCCAAGAACTGTAAGCAAAAGTAAACTACAACTAGGTCACATTAGGTCATTAATGTGAGTGGACGAAGATAAACTTTTCATATTGACAGGGAGCAACACAGTATACCGTTACCGCAGATAAACTTTAACCACTTGCAGAAATCTGCTACGTGTGTAGTGCAGGGTATATATATTATCGTATTATGAACGGACACAAACAAAGTTAATAATCTGACTAATTACAACACCAAGAGATGAATATCCATCCCCGTTCACATGAGTCTAATACATAAAGTTATGTCACTTTACCACGGTTCCATGTAGTTCTTGACGGCACGTTGTGGAACCTTATATCGTTTCATTTACATATTATTCAAGATAAAACCTGTATAAAAAATGTGCCATTGCTTACACGATGTTCAAATGTCCACTAGCACTTCCAACTTAAAATGTCTCAGTTAACGTTAACGTAAATACAACCCGTGCGTTCCGGTATTAACTCTAACTTGGCACAGGTTGCTTACATAACACTATATAAATTGGAAACTCAAACATCAAACTGGCGAACAATTCTCGATCGTTAAACTCACAACAGGGATGGATCAGTGCTCAGCAGTGATCAGCTCGTAACTGCAATACTTGGGTCAACATAACCTAGGGCCCGCCTCAAACTGCCACATTCCCTGGCTCTAACTTTTAACATCGATTTATTTTCTGACAGAACGTATTGAACTTGAAATCGAGGGTGAAAACAGGAACTTCAAGAGTACATCTTCTAGAATTGTTTTCAATTTCCCTGCACCTCTCTGTTCCTAGCAGTAAAGGGGAAGATTCAGAACAAAATATGCATTGTATGAATGTAATGCTGTCATCAGGATAGGAATAATCGGTGTATTGATATGTGTAATTTACGTTTTTCCTTGTATCACATCGCTCATCTACTACAAGTAAGGTATACTAGGAAACGCTTCATTGAAACAGTGTTAACCAGTGTGCAGTATCAATAAAACCAGACACACTAAACAGACAAGAAGTAGGACAACGTGAATTGAGTTCTATACTAAGAACATCCATTGATTTCATCTCCAAACATGAACATTTATTGAACTGGACCATCCCAATGTACTATTACGAGGCGGATAAGGTGTGTTTGTTTCAAAGATTCCTTTTACTTCTTTAAAAATATACTACCTCGCAGAAAATGGGCGGATGTTTATCTGCTAGTTTGGACTTGTTGGGAACCAACAATTACAAAGCAACCCATTAGAATACAGTTCGTATCTTTACTGTAAATCATGTCAGGGCTTGTCTTGACACAACCTGACCAATCAAGACGAGAATGTAAGGCATATATATAACAGCTGCAGTCTGGGTTGGTGATCATACGCCAGGTCTGCACACTTGCTGAAACAAGAAGTTCTACCATGGATTCAGAAAACCCAACTGAAAACACCAGGTAAACGTCGATTGCCATAATTATACATGTGTTACATAAGAGTGGTGTTTATACCATTGGTGTTTGAGATACACTGACATCTCATAACACCACAACTAACGTAATAACTGTTTGATGGTATATTTTATTATATGCTATTAATCAAATCCATATGATATACGTATTTTAATCTTGAACTTTAGTAATATTTGTTACATATATAACTAAACCTGTGACCACTTTTCGGAATGTTCTAAGATCGCGGACCTGTGCATCTGTGCACCTGTGTTATTATGTATTAGAGGAAATATAGATATGTTTTACAGTTCACATGGGGGTGATCGATCGGCAGCCATTTTCTGTGAATCGATCACTCTCCTACCCAGAGTTCCATGCGGCCGGCAGCCAGCTAGCATGGTACTGCTGAATCGATACCTCCCCACCCTGAAATGAGAACCGTCCTAACGTGTCCCGGTTGTCACTGTATCTGCACTGCACTCTCAGTTATGGTTGCCAAAGAAATTATCAGTAACAGTGCTGTTAAAGAATTGCAGGAAACCAGAAGACAACCCAGTCCTGATGCACAGTGTGATGCTGTTCAACATTAACACGTTGACTAACTATCCCTGCTGATGTGATGTTGTTTTTTCAAACAATTTTTATAATGTTATATTTTACTTTCATTGTCGGTTGTTTCAATGAGGAAATAGCTTAAATTGTTCTGATTCTGGTCACCATAGAACATTTCTCGAACAGTTTCATAAACATTTCATTTGTATGCAAAAGATATGCCTTCGTTAAATCTTTTAAAGTCATCATCGAACAACCAGGTTTGCGGCCTAGAACGCCCCAAACATCCGATATCAAACTACCATATTTCCTCTATTTGACACAAAACGCCGTCTATTAATTTCGCGAGAGCCCTTGACTCGGCGTGTATTAGAGACCTGGCTGGTATTAGAGACCCAGCGTGTATTAGAGGAAATATAGATATGTTTTACAGTTCATATGGGGGTGATCGATCGGCAGCCTTTTTCTGTGAATCGATATGTAGGCTTTCTATGTATTCATACGCACGTTTTTTGTGTGAAAAGGCTTAATATATTTGAAAGGGGTTTCCGTAGCAAAAAGAAACCTCTTTTTAACCAATCAGAATCAAGCATTCATCAATGTCATGGTAGAATTGCTGTTACCCTGCCTGGCTTTCGGCATAAAGGGGATAAAACAAGGACTGGTCGGTTCGGAGACAGTATAATGTGTGGCAACGTGTTAGTGCACACACACTCACACACACACACACACACACACACTTGTATTCACGGCGGAGTGAGGGCCATATACTGAAACCCCGTAATGAGGACCCTTAGTTCCAGTGGTGCTAGATGCATGATTGTTTGTAATTTGAATCTGTCCAAGTCCACAAGTAACTTCATCACTTAGTTTGGCGAAACTGCATTATCAGTGGTTCATATCAAGCTCCTCACAGCGATAGTACGTTCGCGGAGCTCTCTATACTATCGCTGCCACCAGTCAAAACTTCCCACTGTGAATAGGTGGCCACAACCATGCTTGGAGTGGCAGCGATATTACTGAGAGTGTAACGAAGGTGTCACGCGCTGGGAAGGAGCTTGGGTTCATATTGGGAAAGGGAGGTCACTCTAATTTCAAACGGGAGCTATCTCCGTTGTTTTCGTATTTGCGAGCAATGGCGTCACCCACGCTGTACGTTGTTGGTCCAGCTATTAAATGCCCAGCTTATCCCTAAGGTAAAACGTTTTCTTAATTAAATGTTTGAATGCATTATATATTTATGTTTCCATCAGTACATCTTCTAAGGTTGGTTTAGTGGTGATAACCATTTTCTAACATGTGGGCCCACATCTTTCGTTCTTCCGTCATATTGATTGCAACAGGAGGGACCACATTTATTAATCGCGAAATTCTACTTAAATATTGATAATCATTTTCTCAAATGTGGGCCCACATTGTTCCCGTCATATATGGTGACCGAAACAAGTGGGCCCACATTTGTATATCGCCTAGTGGGTAGACGTTCTTCCGTCATAGTGATTGCAAAAGGAGGGACCACATAAAAAATCGCTAGCTTCATTAGCTTGGCTTACTTATAACCATTTTCTAAAATGTGGGCCCACATTGTTCCCGTCTTATAGTGATCGAAACAGGTGGGCCCACATTTTTAAATCGCTGGGTTTCATTAGGTTGACGAAGTCATTTGGGCTATTGGGCTCACGTTTGTCATTATGTGACATTTTATATTATTCATATTTTGTAATATTGATGGGAAATATCTTTATAAATCATTTCGTGTGACATTAATTCCATGAAAGGCACAAAAGTCTTTGAAGTTTGAATAACTGCGTCATAGCTGACCACACTAGTTTTACAAAAATAGCTACCAAGCAAGAAACTTAAATCTACTTCAAATTAATTTACAGAGGCAATACCACTCATTCTACATTTTCCAATATAACACATCAATCTAACCATCAGTGTTGGTGGCGATATAAGCCTGAAAATATGTCTACACTTGACATGACATGATACAAGCCTCAAACGTTTCCGAGAACTTGTTCCATAAAAGAAATAACTCATGAATATTAATGACCCCACGACCTAGTTTGGCGATGTTCGTAGAAGTGAGTTCTGCTGTATTGCCATCTTATTTGTACATTTTAATCCAATTATAAGTCATAATACTTATTTAAAATAGACAAATTATGAGTTCGTTATGCGGGTTTGTTTACTTAGTATATATTCTCAAGAACAAGTGCGTTTAGTTTCGAATGTGGGCCCACCTCGAACTTTCGGTTAGGCAAACCACAGGAGTCCGTATCTAAAAATAGACGCCCTCATGCATATTCATGACCATCTCCACATCCCGGGCTCGCGTGTGGAGATGGTCATGAATATGCATGAGGGCGTCTATTTTTAGATACGGACTCCTGTGGGCAAACGGAGTTAGCTCCCTTCTCGAACCACAGATAATTCGGTTTCGCCCTTAGTTTTATTCCTAAGGTAAACTGGTCTGAGATAGCGTTTTTTCTAGACCTGCATGACAAATGAGGACTTACTTGTGAGGACCATTCCCATAATGCATTTCGTTGGTCCTCGCAATGTATATTAATAATGGATATGTATGACGTAGCTTGTGTTTCGGGCATTGCCTTGTGTGGGCGTGGTCCCGTTTGCTACGTCACAATAGCCAAGATAGTGGGGGAATTAACTTGGTAGAGCTGATTACTCGGCTATCACCTTTAAAACAGAGAGAAGGCTGCTGAGTCCTTTTACGTCTTTATTCGTGGCAGAGTGAAGTATCTATCTATTCTGATCTGTCAGAAATGTCTTCATCGCGAACGCCTTGGTGTGTGCCCTTAAGATGTATTGTGATGCCTTCGGTACGAGGACATGGATGTGTTATTAGCGAGGACCAGAGTGTGTATGCCCTAAAGATGTATAGCGATACCTTCAGTACAAGGACCCGAGTGTGTATGCCCTTAAGATGTATTGCGATACCTTCAGTACAAGGACCAGAGTGTGTATGCCCTTAAGATGTATTGCGATACCTTCAGTACAAGGACCAGAGTGTGTATGCCCTTAAGATGTATTGCGATACCTTCAGTACAAGGACCAGAGTGTGTATGCCCTTAAGATGTATTGCGATATCTTCAGTACAAAGACCAGAGTGTGTATGCCCTTAAGATGTATTGCAATGCCTTCAGTACGAGGACTTGGATGTGTGATAAGCGTGGACCTGAGTATGTGTCCTTGCGATGTATGAGAATGCCTTCATCTCGAGGACTTGGATGTGTTATTATAAGAGAGGCAGTGTGTTAGCCCTTGCGATTAATACACCAAAGCCTTCATTGTGAGTACCATGATTACGTGTGCCCTTGCGGTGTATAACAATGCCTTCATAATGAGGATGGATGTTGGATGGATATTTGTTTGTTTAACGCCACACTCAGCAATATTCCAGCTTTGTGTTGGTGGTCTGTAAATAATCAAGTCTGGACCAGACAATTCAGTGATTAATATCATGACATGCATCAACCAAGTCAGCGAGCCTGACCACCCGATCCCATTAGTCGCCTTTTACGACAAGCATAGTCATCTTAATGAGGATGTGTAATAACCTTGGTGTGTGGAATAAGCCTGTCCAGTAATGACCAAATATCTGTAGCATTAACAAGAAATATAGCCATTTAAAATTTAATTGCACTTCTGTCCTCCTATACTTGCATATAACATGTTGGAAAAGTGAAAAGGAAAAGATTACAATGGGGTTAATAATCTAGAGACTGGCCTACCATACGACCTGATAAGACCAACTGCACACTTGCTACATACTTTTTACTTCAAAACTAGACTAATTGCTAAATATAGCTTTATCAATATGGGGTATTGAAATTTGGATCAGTGTTATTTGAACAGATCATGGTGTCATCCTATACAACTCAAAAAGGGTTAAAAGCCACCCGATCCTTTTAAATTACTATCATCAATGTGTCATGGCATAACATGATTAACAAAAGTAATATGAAAAACATCAGGGGGGCCTTCACACTTTCAGTATAGGAGAGGAATATGTACTCACTAAGTTTCACCTTCACAGGTTTAGTGGTTTAAAAGTTGTTTTTAAATCAAATAACAATGGACAAACAATCCATGACATTGGCTCACTTGGGCCAAAAGGTCAAGGTGAGCTCAGAAGTCATCTTATGGAAATGGTTTTCCTTACAAAATCCGTTTTTAACACTATTTTCCTTAAAAAACTTGTTTTTAATATCCATATGCTAAATCATAGTCAATATCCCAATCTCATATTTGATAATTGATTGTGATTGATTGTCAAAATCCAAAAGTCCAGCAGCGAACAACTGTTTGATAGCCCACAGTGGAAACTTAAGTCATTTGGCAAATGTTTTGAGCAAGTGAGTGAGTGAGTGAGTTGGGTTTAATGCCGATTTTAACAGTGTTCCCATTATACCACGCATGTTGGGTTAATGTGAGAGGTAAGCTTGAAGTGATGCAGGACGTTTACCACTTTGGTGAAACCCATGTATGGTGCTGACAAACATAGAAACATAATCGGGGTGAACTGAGATTCGAACCCATCAAATTGTTAGTGTTACTATTACATATCATACATATACCAACTATGTATTCATGAGAAAAGAGGAAGACTAGTCTCCGTCTCTGGTAACTTGTCTCCACTTTTGCAATTGTCGTAGATTAATGTTGCATGCCCCCAAAATATATAATGCAGCATCTTGATAAATTTGTTTTATTCCAAATGAAAATCCTTAAACAAGTTCTAAAAATATATAAAAATTGGAGTTTGTCCATTATGACCAAAAGCAAAACGTTGTCCCTTTAGGCCAGCTAACCATTTCTGAATTACCTCAATGGCAGGGATGGGACACTATTTGAAAACATTATCACGCGAGTATAATACAAAATATTGATAATTTCCATACAATCCTGTTAAATACAGAAAAAAGGCATCATGAAGTTTTATGTCATCACATAAAAATCCTGTCTATCAAAGCCATGAAAACAGGCTATTCTGGAATAGATATGCAACTTTTCATGATGAAATTTGGTAAAATCACCTTTAAGATCAGTCATTTCTCTCAATAAGTGCCTATTGTGTTAAACATATCGCTATGCACACATATGGTGATACTTACTGTCACTCCTCTTATATTTAAGGCAGTTATTTTGTTTTTTCTCAGAGTCAATGGTCGAAAATCTCAACACATTTTGAAAGTTATTTCATAAAGAAATATGATCTGCAGGTAAAATAAAAATATCAATTTTTAGATTGCTGAAATCTTCATGGACTTAGCAAAATAAAAAAAGAATTTATTGCTGAAAGTTTAATTTTATGTAAGCATTTTTTTTTTTAAATTAAGGGTGGGCAGATGTCAACAAAGTAATAATATTAAAAAAACAACAACTGAAGAACCACACAAAAACAGTTTCTGAATTGCATCAGTTGAAAAATACAAGGTAAAAACAGTAAAGTGGTCTTTGCGGTCTAAAGCCAGTATGAAAAAGACAGTTGTCTACATTACTAACAAAAACAAAAGAACATTGTGAAATCTTACCCAAACCTAACAAAACATTATATTTAGTTTCAAAACAAAAAGAGCTATTGGCTCTTTTAAAGATAAATGGCTTGAAGAAACTCAACTGATGACCTTGGTGTGTGTGTTTGTGTGTACTATTTTGATAACGAGGCATGGACCTTGGTGTGATATTACTTCGATGTTCAAACAACTTCATCGTGAGGTCCTTGTTGGATATCACAAACGAGACCTAAAGTGTGTGCTATTTTGAGCTGTGCCTTGATGAGGACATCAGTGAGTCTTTCATGGAACATTCAGCTGTTTCAATTATACGATTTCATGGAGCATCAGGGCATTTGAGTTTTAATTCAGTTGACTAACATTCAAATAACAATTTAACATTTTGCAGTACTCCATAAAAAAATATGTCCAAGAACTATGTAGCTGGCTGTATGTTATATGCTATTTGAAAGAGTTGGAGCATCTGTTTGCAAGTAAATCAAGGTAGCTGACCTCATTAATATTAATGTATTAAAGTCGTCTGCTATGTACACACACTGGCACATTATACCTAAATCCAACTTCTAACCATAATACAGCAATGTGTACTAACTTACACATGTTAACACATTGGCACAAAAATTGGGGAAGAAATGGACATTGATACAAATGGAACCACAAAATCATCAATAAAATTCAAATGAAACCCATTATCATAAACAATGATTAATGTAACAAGATACATAAGACGAAGTGTCAAAACCAAAAAGAGCCATTTGCTCTAAAGCATGTCTTATGCAAATTCTCTTCATATTTGTATGTACTTGACATATGAGCAAACATAAGAAAGGATAATAGCTTGAAGAAATGCAGATGAAACAGATTTAATGAAATCAGGACACTCATCAAACTCCATTCAGTGGGAAATGGACTTGTCCACCGTATTGGGTTTCTTGCAAAATGAAGGGATATGCCTTACTTCACAAAATTATCTGTAATAACAGTGTTTCCGTTCTCCGGTAATTGCCGGTATTTTACCGATAAAAATATCAACAAGCCGATAAATATGAACGTTGTCGGCTAACATGTCCGATAAAACTTTGTTTGTTTTGCCTCAATGGAACATTCCTTTGGAAAAAGTGGTCGGTCTAGGATCGGATGGGGCGTCTGTTATGACCGGGAAACACTCAGGAGTTGGGAAGAGGTTGCAGGATCATAATTCATATCTTGTGCATGTCCATTGCATAGCCCATCTTGTCGCACTTGCTTCAGCCGATGCAGCGAAGATTTCGAAGGTCGTAGCGGAATATAGGACATTGAATGATATCTACAAACTGTTTGAATATTCAGCAACGCGATACAACAGATTGCGAAAACTTTCAGAGGTCCTTGAAGATTCTGACTTTTCAAGTTTAAAACAACCATGCAGTGTTTGTTGGCTTTCCGTGGGACGGGCGGTAAAAGCAGTGACATCTAACTGGCCAGCTCTTGTTCTCGAAATTGAAGAGGAATCTGCCAAGCGAAACAACGCTGTTGCCACGAATATTCAGAAGAAAATTCGAACGTACTCCTTTATCCGACTTCCTTACATGATGACTGACGTGCTCCATGTGATGGACAAAATTGTTACTCTTTTTCAGAGAGAGAATATCAACTTGGGCATGATTATGCCAATTGTGAATTCTACGATTGACTCCCTTGCCAGTCTAGAAAACGCCGCAGGTGAAAATGAACAGAATTTCTTGGATAATCTGAACAACGGGGAATTTTGTGGAATTCAGGTCACATATGGGGACCCGCGATCTATCAATGCGTTTGTGAAAACCCGTTGTGGGTTTATTGAGGAACTCTGTAACTCTCTGAGAAAAAGATTTCCGGATGACTCGCTTGATATCGTTACTTGTCTGGACAAAGTGCTCAACCCAAGCCGATTTCCCCAAACGCAAGAGGAACTGACAGCTCATGGAAGGGAATCCCTCGAGAAATTACTGGACAAATTCTGCCTCCCGATTGGTCCAGCTGAAAATGACATCATCAATCGCATCCGGGCGCAGCAGGACTTCACACCTTTCAAGATGGCGGTCAACAACATAGGAGCCGACTCGTTCGAACAAAGTTGCAAGACAGTTATTTCTGAACTTTCAGATATTTATCCCAGCTTTTCCACTCTGTGCTCGATAGCACTTGCTATCCCAGTTAGCAGCGTTGATGCTGAACGTGGATTCAGTTTGCAAAACAGGATACACTCTGCCAGTCGCAATCGTCTTTCCCAACAACGGATAAACAACCTGATGCTGTTGAATCTACACGCAGAAGTCAACAATATTGTGAAACAAGCTACGAAGATCTTTCGTAGAAGGAAACGCAAACTTTAATAAACAAGTCAGTATGTTTTATGTTGTATTTTATTGAATTTATTAATGACTGACAAAAATCACATCTGAATCTGAAGTGAAATATCCTTTGACCTTTTAACATGATCAATTATTCGTAATCTGTTATGATTGTTTTTAAAGAAAATACATGTACCAGAAGTTTGATCATGAACATATTCCTAAAATATGAAAAAACATAATATATGCAGTAGTTTTGGAGTTTGCAGGCTATACTTCATATTTATGACTGTTGCCATAGTGGACATTTTGAATTTTTCAAATCAAAAACCCTACTTTACTGTAGTGAGCGAGTGAGTGAATACGGTTTTACACCGCGTTTAGCAATATTCCAGCAATATCACAGCGGGGGACACCAGAAATGGGCTTCACACATTTTACCCATGTCGGGAATCGAACCCGGGTCTTTGGCATGACGAGCAAACGCTTAAACCACTAGGCTACCCGACCGCCCCCTACTTTACTGTAGCTAGTTACACCGAGAACATGTACCGGACCTCCCCCCTACTTTACTGTAGCTAGTTACACCGAGAACATGTACCCGACCTCCCCCTACTTTACTGTAGCTAGTTACACCGAGAACATGTACCCGACCTCCCCCTACTTTACTGTAGCTAGTTACACCGAGAACATGTACCGGACCTCCCCCCTACTTTACTGTAGCTATTTACACCGAGAACATGTACCGGACCTCCCCCCTACTTTACTGTAGCTAGTTACACCGAGAACATGTACCGGACCTCCCCCTACTTTACTGTAGCTAGTTACACCGAGAACATATACCCGACCTCCCCCTACTTTACTGTAGCTAGTTACACCGAGAACATGTACCGGACCTCCCCCCTACTTTACTGTAGCTAGTTACACCGAGAACATGTACCCGACCTCCCCCTACTTTACTGTAGCTAGTTACACCGAGAACATGTACCCAAATGATCATAGTGATACACACAGTAGTTCAGCCCCAGACAAATTCAGCACAGAGTTACAGAATTGCAAAATTTACATTTCTGTGAAAGCAATAGCAACTTGACAGACAAATGAACATGTTTCTATATCCCCTGTCTAACTCGCCAGGTCCTTTTCTTGAAAGCTTCCACTTTATTATAAACATCTGTAGAGATTCTAGCATATATGTTGTAATAGGGAAAAACAATTTCTGATTAAGGTACCGGATCTAATACTTGTTTAGGGGTCGTGCCCCATCAGTGCTAATTACATCTATAAGACTGGTTTAAGTGTTCCAGACTACCAGTTGTTGAACTTGCTTCTTAACGTGGCAAAGTGGTACAGATCGCTGCCATTGAGTACTGTGGGTGTGATCCCCAGGTTTGATGCAACCCCAGAAGAAGTCATATAATATGTCCTTTAACGAGAAAGTAATATCCCAAATATAACTATAACATTTCGTTAAAATTTGGTAAAAGTAACTCTTTGGTCCAAGCTATATAAATAATAAATAAATATCATCAAAAACAGCCCGGGTTTGCTCATAACCTGAACACACATAGTTTTATTGCTGTAAAACAGTACTCCCCTGTTTACAATTCAGTAATTGTAAATGATTTATTGGTTGGTGGTTACACATAACTTGGCCAATGAAAATTGAGTTTACAATGTACTGCAACATGAGAAGACAATTAAAACCACACTCATTGTTGCCCGGCAACATATACCCAGTAGTTAGTGCGAAGAAGTTTAGTGAACAGTTTACAGACGGATGGACGGACAAAGGGCCATAACAAAACCCAAGCTCACTTCGATGTCTAAAAGTAAGGACGGTAACCTCACAAAGCAGACAATGATAATGACATTACTGTTGCTAAAGACCTTTTTGTGAGTCAAAGTGAGCTTCATAATTACAATGTAAACTGTCAGGGACAAACAGTTTGACACATTTACTTGTGATTATTTATGTAATACTTAATCTGCTTCCAAGGCCGTTGCAGGAGAACAGGTTCGTTTTGACTTGCCATTTCACAGTTAAGTTTTCCTGGCAGTGATTTCAAATAGTAGAATTTTCCCAATTGTCTTTCAATAGCTTCTCTCTCTTCTTATGACCATTTTTGATGCCTAACAGCTTGATAGACTCGTTTCTCGTTTCTTGTTTCACATGTTGTACCAGTACCTTGAACAGAAAAATCATAACTGAAAAAAACTGTACAGGGTCATGTAGGATTGGAACTTTGGGTGCTTCCTCAAGTAGATTTTAAAATCATCCTGCCATTCCCATCTGCACCTGTTTACAATCTGACAGGTGTAAGACAAAAACTGTGAAAGCAGCAAATCATTTATAATACAGCCAAGCGACATGAGCAAATGACATTTGACCAAATCAATATGGAAATATTGTTAGGTATACACAGAGACATTGTCATTATAAACCCAAAGGCTAAGTTTGATCCCATTATGTCCCTATTTCTATATGTAGGCCTTATTTCAAATTCAGCCAATCAGAAGACATATGATTAGTAGGTAAAACTTAAATAAATGGTTTGGACTAAACACACACATTGAAATAATAAGCCCACGGCCATGTTAAAAGTTAGCCCAGCTTCAAATTGAACTAATCAAATGACATCACATATTTAATATGTAGATGGTCGAATATACATGGACAATGACAAACAAAATCTAAAGGCAAAGTGTGGTTCAATTCAGTTTATATTTACAGGTATTAGAGACACTTGGTCAATTAGGAAGACTTGAAAGTGGATGTGGCCTAATTTCAGAGCCTAATTATGAAATTAATCTGCAAAAGTGGTGCAAATGTCTTCAACAAATCACCAGGGCTAAGGTTTTTTTTATGCAGAAAATCAAAGATTGTCATATGGAAATTGTCATTTTCATGTCTTGAATAAAGTTGCACCCCCTTGTGGGTGACAAAGATACACACACAATTTCACCTCAATCTATCAAGCGGTTTCATAAGTAGAAAACGTGCAAGGTTTACGGCTACCGCTGCGGGACAGAAGAGCTAAAATGATAAAATACCAGATCATAACTGGAGTTATGTGTGTATAGTATAGTCAACTTACGTGTGTCAATAGGACCTGGTCTGGCTGCGTCTTGAAGCAGGTTGAGTGATGCAGAACAGCATATAGAAGTACCGATAGAGGTATGAACTGGACTGATTGGTGGTCTTTCAGCTGGAGATCTGTCGGGGGTTTCTACTGAAGTACCGATGAATTGGACTGATCGGCGGTCTTTTAACAGGAGGTCTGTCGGGGGTCTCTCCTGACGTACCGATAGAGGTATGAACTGGACTGATTGGTGGTCTTTCAACTGGAGGTCTGTCGGGGGTTTCTACTGAAGTACTGATGGACGTATGAACTGGACTGATCGGTGGTCTTTCAACTGGAGGTCTGTCGGGGGTCTCTCCTGAAGTACTGATGGACGTATGAACTGGACTGATCGGTGGTCTTTCAACAGGAGGTCTGTCGGGGGTCTCTCCTGAAGTACTGATGGACGTATGAACTGGACTGATCGGTGGTCTTTCAACAGGAGGTCTGTCGGGGGTCTCTCCTGAAGTACTGATGGACGTATGAACTGGACTGATCGGTGGTCTTTCAACAGGAGGTCTGTCGGGGGTCTCTCCTGAAGTACTGATGGACGTATGAACTGGACTGATCGGTGGTCTTTCAACAGGAGGTCTGTCGGGGGTCTCTCCTGAAGTACTGATGGACGTATGAACTGGACTGATTGGTGGTCTTTCAACTGGAGGTCTGTCGGGGGTTTCTACTGAAGTACTGATGGACGTATGAACTGGACTGATCGGTGGTCTTTCAACAGGAGGTCTGTCGGGGGTTTCTACTGAAGTACCGATGGACGTATGAACTGGACTGATCGGTGGTCTTTTAACAGGAGGTCTGTCGGCGGGTTCTGAAATGTGGAATGTTTCCATAGAATAAAACATGCACATATATCTTAAGGTGCCGAGTTATAAATATCACTATTAACAACTAACAACCATTAAAGAGAGGACCAATTTGTAAATAATATTTTAACAGTTCCTTATCGATAGACTGACACTGAAATTTAAGTACTTATGTACTTGATACATATAGATTTAACACGTTTATTGGTCTCATATAAAAAAACTCATGCTGAAAGAGGTGCATGCACACTCCAGTACTAAGATTTTCCGCCCGCAACATTGGAAGATCAATTCCAACAAACAACTAATGCAAGTTGTGTCTTAATCATCCACTAAATCAAAACTGAAATAGTTTATCTGTAAGTATTATCAAATCTTTAGTCTAATGAGAGCAATTGTTGTCCTGAGACCATGTTTGAAATCCAGATTCAAAAGTTAATGGACCTAAGGACCAACAGCCATAAAAATAAAAAGCTGGAGTACGCTAGACAAGTGTTGATGGACACCACAATAACTGAGAAAGCCCTTGACAAACCTTTTCTGTTCACAATGCACTTTACAGTTTTATAATGTACTTTACAGCTATTTGAGGCCTTTCAAGCCAACAGCTAATAACATCAACACATAAAAGAACTTAAAACCATCTTGTCACGCAGCCATTCTTATTTTATGTGTCAAATGTTGAGAATAATGAAACCCATGTATCATGTGTATTGTCCTACAGGTAATCTATCATAAGAACCATCCATTTTCAATCAAAACTTGATGTAAGGGACACCTATTCCTTAAAAATGTCCTGTAACCCGATTTGGTTGATATAGCCTTGTACATGTTGTATGACCAGGGTTTCAATAGAAATGTACATAGAAGGGTTTTCAGTATTCATAGGAAGGTACTGCAGACCAACGACAAGAGAGGGGATAGTAACTCCTCTCGTTAGTGCAAATTAAACCTAAAACATTGTAAAAAGGGGCATTTCCTACATTTTCCAACCACTTTTTTGTGTGTATGTGTATGCCTGTTTGTTATAATCATAATCATAATTGATAATGATAATGATAATTGTTTGAAAATAACACTCAAACCCTGTGCCATTCTCTTCATTTCGATGACTTAAACATTTAATCAAATATCAATGTGGCATTAACTATACCTAAATTAACGCTTAGGTTAGGCCTCATTACAATGCATCCAAATATAAAGTCTCGTGATAGTAGAAGCAACAGTCAAGTACCTGAGAAAGTGACTAATATAACCAATGTTTCACAATACCCTTCACCTTTAACCCCCAAAACCTAATCAGCTTGGGACACTAGTCTATACATTATAATATGTCAAGCTTCATCAAAATAGGATAATTATTTTTTGTTATGGCAACAACAGAATGATGTGTAACCCCTCACTTTCACCCTTGACATGAGCCACGCTCATATAAAAAGCATTCCCCACGTACACAGATGGCAGATAAACACATCACTTAGGTTTTTAAAAATAGCTTACCAATCTCCAGTACATCTGTTCATCTGTGGGTCCATAATAGTATGTGACTTCTTCGTTTGGTGAAATATCCCTCTTGGCAAACAAACACAAATGTGTTTTGTCTCGAAGGTAAAGGGGCTTCATAAAGGCATTGGCTCTCCTTTTTGTCATGCTGTCATTCACGAATTTACCATAGCATCTGCTGTCAGTTGCATCAATACTGAAATTGAAGTATCGGCCAATGACTCTGAATCGGATAAAAACTCATAAAGTGAATTGATTACATTCATAAACAAATGTTAAAATTAACCAACGTATCTTATTTTTTAGCGTTGCTACTTAAAATTCTGGTGATCCAAAAATAACAAATTTACCACAAATTCATGTTCACAAAAAATAAGAAACTGCCCACATCAGGCCAAGTCAAGTGCTCTTCCCCCTCAACAGCAGACAAGGGTTGCCCTATGTACTCCAACAGAAAGTCACCCCTCTGGAAGTGTTTTGTTGTAAACACGCCTTGTCCTAGTAGTGGAAGAAATTTTACAATTAGGTAAAAAAACAAAAACAGTTGTATTTTTTGCAAAATTGGCTTATATTTACAGAACTCCATACTTGTGTGCAGCATCAATATTATATTTTGAAATTGCAACATTTCTCTTCATATAAACTATAGTAGGGTAATTCAAGTGTTGGTGTTAATCAGGATACCATACCTTTATATTGGCTAATAAAGCGAACTGTGAAGTCTTCTTTGTCCATCTGGTCATACAATGCTCAACAGCATCTTGATGAGGTGTGACAGAGTCACTATCTTGTGACCTCCGAGTTAGTGGCATCTAAAAATGGAGAAAGTTGGATCTTACAAGAGAGATATCTGGTTAATCGCATGATAGTAGACCCTACAGTAAATATGTATATTTATCAACTCAAATACATATAGAAATAAAGTTTATCCTAAAATTAAAAGATATTTCCCTAGACATTCACAGGGAGCATGGTGAATGAATGGGCTTTAAAGCCATTTCAACAGGGTAACATTCATATCAGTGTGGTCAACTTGATGTGGGAGGAAAGCTTAAAGATGTGCAGGTTCCAATGTTTGCCACTTTATTGAAACACACGAGCATGGTTCTGGTTCTGACAGAACTTCAACATATTCAGGATGAATCTGGGATTCAATCACTGACCAGTGGTTCCAGGCAGGAAAGGGATGTAATAGGAAGTTGTGGCGCCTTAGGCGACTGGGCCAACCGTGACCCCCAATATCACATTTTCACAAATGTACCATACAGTCAAGTCCTGTTAATCCAATATGATTATGTAGGATTAACGACTATGTTGGATAAACGAAATTTAGTATTATCAACGGTCATGATCTAAAATTGGACAGTCACAACTACACGATAGATAACGATACATGCATGATGTAATAAAATCGTAAAAACAATTATTCATATTGTTTATTCCTTCATTCATTGATAATGATATTGCAAATATAATTTAATATTCCACATTTTAATGAAAATAGAGCCACTACTTACTGCGCATTTATCACACTAACATAATCAAGGCGTGTTCATATGTGCTATTGTCTGGATGACTTATTACATATATTGACATTATCGGCACATCATCTAGTCATTTAACATGATTCTTGTTCTAACATCTGTACACCACAAAAACTGCATGAAAAATGTAATTTGCATAACTGAAGAGGTGCGCATGATCATATGGCACATGTTTTTTTAGATGATGACGATAACTGGTACAATCAGTCGATGGGAAAGATCTGTTTTGAATGTTTTGATTCCCTCTCTTTGCGTTATAACAGAAATTGACTGAAACTTTTTCCATGTACTGAAATAAGGACATTTGGTTGCAATTTGCAGCAACTAGTCGGTTCGTCTAGCATCAAAATACAGGGCTGTGAATAGTGGTGTAACGATACGGCGACACAGTATTGTATCCCGATGCACAGCCCACGATACGATGCATCGATTTGGAAAGCATGTATCGCGATACATACGATATTTTCATAACACAGTTTTACCTACCATATTTTCTTGAGTATAGTGCACACTTTTTTCCAAAAGCACAGCTGTGTAGAAGGGGTTGCGCATTATACACGAATTAATGAGTTTTGATGTTTTTTCCCCCCATGGAAAGACATTACCGTGAGCACGAAACACCGGAAATACCATGTCAACAAATCCATACTGAAGTACACAAATTATTCATGTAATTACACTGTCTGGCTATAAAAAAAAGTGTTCTTTGAATATCTGGACTCATGTTTGTAACTTATTTCATTAATTTTATTCAAAATTCCTTTTAATATTGTTTTAATTAATTTCGGCGAAATCGTGTCTGAAGCGATCGGAACATCGCACAACTCACCGTTATTAACAGCAACCACGGTCAGATTACCGCTAATTTTAGTTGACAGAGAATGGATACATATATCATAAATGCCATACTTTGATTCGTTAAAAGTCAGATTTGTTTTTGTTTGACGATTCTATGTCAACATGTAATTCTCGCGATCATGCGATCACGTGCACGGGAGCCTTGACGGTGACTGGTCAGACTGGTTCCATGTAAAAAATAATACCCGACAATAGCGATCAGCTGCTTCGCTTAGGGTTATTATTATTTTAAATATGTTTAGTTAAAGCTGCATCGAAATTAACAATATACTGGAATATATTATTCCTGATAAAAAAATAGTTTCAGATAAAACTTTTGCCGATCCTTGCATTAAAATACTGTAAAGTTATATCATTGGGTGTGTCTTGACCGAATCACCGGTAGATTTCAAGAAAACGTGTGTACATGTACAGCTGATTGCTGTGTCCGGCTTAGTTTACGAGAAAATACACAAGGTATTCTTAATCCCTGGATATAAAACAAGGCAACAATGCAGTTTACCGGGCGCAGCCCGAGCTCTACCATCCGCTCAATTACCGCGCTATAGTGCCACCGCTGTCTCGTTATACCGTTACCGTGCCTCACGCTGTGGTGCTTCTCGCTTCACGATCCAACACCCGTTTTCGGTCTTAGGGAAACTTACACATCTTTACGATCAAACACCCGTTCTAGGTCTTAGGGAAACTTACACAACTTTACGATCCAACACCCGTTTTTCAGTCTTAGGGAAACTTACACGTCTTTACGATCCAACACCCGTTTTCGGTCTTAGGGAAACTTACACGTCTTTACGATCCCAAACCCCTTTTCGGTCATTAGGGTCAGCTGGCTTTGGGCAAGGGTTAGCCATAAATTCTTACCTTTTCAAACGTTAATCCAGTTAATCCCATTGGTCGGTCATGTTGACATAAACAATTGCGGGCGTGGTTTCAAGAAAAGATGAATGGGAGAGCGGACAGTGACGTCACACGCATGCGCAATTCATTGTTTACTGTATCATTTATCGTATCGCGACCCTCCCGTATCGTTATACCTCTAGCTGTGAACACACGGTCAGTCACACGGTTACGGACCGGGAACGCTCAGATATTCCTGGGAAAGTCGTCATTCAGCTGTGGGTACAGCAATCGCCAAATCTATGGATTAGCCGTGAATGCACACTGTTTTATGATATGAACGAGGCATACAGAAATACATTAGTAGAAATACGCTTTATGATATAAATGAGTTATTCAGAAAGAGTAAAAATACACCAAATGCACAAAACAAAAATAAAATTAATTTAAACATACCACAAGACTATCAACTTACAACTAATTGGCAGTGAGTCTATGCAGGATGCTGATGTTTTTACAGATAAAGCCAATTCAGCTTATCAGAATGCAGGAATTTCCATGAACACAACGAAAATTTAATTATAATGCAATCAAACCATAAAACGGCTAAATCCGACAACTCAAACTGTCTACTAGAGCAATATTCTAGGCATTTTATGATGGTACATCACTCATTGTCTTTAAAAATCTGTTTCAATCAGTTCAAAAAATATAAAAACACAAACTTACCTTTGACGGCAAATGGAGGACTTAATACGCGGGGAAATCAGCTCCGTACAGCGAGGTCGCAGTTGTCTTCATCATTATTATTGTTGCACGCAGTGTTTTGTGTTAGTAATGTTGCCTTTCGACACAATTGATTGGATGGTAGTAAGATCGTCTCTGATTGGCTCTAGATACAGGAAGCAAATATGATTGGCTGAGGGGTTAAGCACATCTCCACTCTCCTACCCAGAGTTCCATGCGGCCGGCAGCCAGCTAGCATAGTACCTCTGCCACAGGCCAGCGCCATGTGACGATTCGTCACATCTTTCACAGTCCATTCAAGATATTGCATATGCTTTTCATCCGTTTCATGTTTGACAAGTCTACACATTTTCATAAACAAATGTCAAAGAATGGTTAACTTTCATTGAGAAAGTATGCAAATACGTAAAAATCTACTTGTTTTTGCGTAGTTATCCTATGTTTACATTGGTTGTACGGCTCCACGTGCTGTCATCGAAGCCCAACGGAAAGCTAGCGACACGGTCACTTTGATGCATAAATATATATTGTCATGCAGCTCACTGTCGCAGTTGTAGTAGCATATCTGCAGCTCACTGTCGCAGTTGTAGTAGCATATCTATATAGTTATGCAAAACAATATGTAAAGCGCCCCCAAATACTTGCATTAGTCCGTTCTATACTGATTTCTGAAAAAGCGCGTTTGTTTACAAACAAGAGAAAAGTCCGGTCACGTGATATGCAAATTAGCCTGTGGCAGTGGTGTTATGCTGAGTCACCACTGCGACGGAGTGTGGCACATCTCTGTACACGTTTTCGAGCGAGTAAAGTGTGTTTAGCGCATGGTGGGTGCATGTGTAACGAAAGTCTTAAAATACCCCAATCTGAGGACTGTCATAAAACTTATGCTACAGACATGTGGGCTCTCACTGATGCCATATATGCAATGTCAATCCGAGGACTGGGGTGCAAGTCCTCTATTTTGAAAACGTCCTCACAACGTTGGTGTTCTACTTTTTCTTGGTCCTCACGATGTCACAAATGCGAGTACACACACACACACACACACACACACACACACACACACACACACACACACACACACATTAAATGAAAACACCCAAATTAGAATCTCTCACCAGCATATTCCATACATTGCTATGGAAGTTCGATGATACATTATATTTTGCACGTGTCCTTGTGCCACACAACGCCATGTCCACTTTGAATGTCTCCTCCGCAAAAATGATGTTTATTACATCACATAGAGACAAGGTGAATTCATGGAAATTCTTTTATACCATTAAGCAGTTAAATTATCATGCTCATCTGAACATGATGGTACTCTCATAATATATAACCACCATTACATCATGTAGACCCATATTACATCAACCACGGACTTGTATAACATGTGGTTGGCATCGCGCCTGCGGGATACCGATAACATGGGGCTAGGATTTCAATTCGCGGATGCGCGGCAGAGATAGTTTCAGGAATTCTGTATCGTTTCCTATCCAGGTTATATAGGTCCGTGCATCAACTAGACCCACCATTACTTCATGTATACCCACCATTGCATAATATATACCCCACCATTACATCATGTATACCCACCATTACATCATGTATACCCACCATTGCATAATATATACCCCACCATTACATTATGTATACCCACCATTACATCATGTATACCCACCATTACATTATATATACCCACCATTACATCATGTATACCCACCATTACATCATGTATACCCACCATTTCATCATGTATACCCACCATTACATCATGTATACCCACCATTACATCATGTATACCCACCATTACTTCATGTATACCCACCATTGCATAATATATACCCCACCATTACATTATGTATACCCACCATTACATCATGTATACCCACCATTACATTATATATACCCACCATTACATCATGTATACCCACCATTACATCATGTATACCCACCATTACATCATGTATATCCACCATTACATCATGTATACCCACCATTACATCATGTATACCAACCATTACATCATATATACCCACCATTACATCATGTATACCCACCATTACATCATGTATACTCACCATTACATCATGTATACCCACCATTACATCATGTATACCCACGATTACATTATATATACCCACCATTACATCATGTATACCCATCATAACATCATGTATACCCACCATTACATCTTGCATACCCCACCATTACATCATGTATACCCACCATTACATCATGTATACCCACCATTACATCATGTATACCAACCATTACATCATATATACCCACCATTACATCATATATACCCACCATTACATCATGTATACCCATCATAACATCATGTATACCCACCATTACATCATGTATACCCACCATTACATCATGTATACCCACCATTACATCATGTATACCCACCATTACATCATGTATACCAACCATTACATCATATATACCCACCATTACATCATGTATACCCATCATAACATCATGTATACCCACCATTACATCATGTATACCCACCATTACATCATGTATACTCACCATTACATTATATTTACCCACCATTACATCATATATACTCACCATTACATCATGTATACTCACCATTACATCATGTATACTCACCATTACATCATGTATACCCCACCATTAAATCATGTATACCCACCATTACATCATGTATACCCACCATTACATCATGTATACCCACCATTACATCATGTATACTCACCATTACATCATGTATACTCACCATTACATCATGTATACCCACCATTACATCATGTATACCCACCATTACATCATGTATACCCACCATTACATCATGTATACCCACCATTACATCATGTATACCCACCATTACATTATATATACCCCACCATTACATCATGTATACCCACCATTACATCATGTATACTCACCATTACATCATGTATACCCACCATTACATCATGTATACCCACCATTACATCATGTATACCCACCATTACATCATGTATACTCACCATTACATTATATATACCCACCATTACATCATGTATACCCACCATTACATCATGTATACCCACCATTACATCATGTATACCCACCATTACATCATGTATACCCACCATTACATCATGTATACCAACCATTACATCATATATACCCACCATTACATCATGTAGACCCACCATTACATCATGTATACCCACCATTACATCATGTATACCCACGATTACATTATATATACCCACCATTACATCATGTATACCCATCATAACATCATGTATACCCACCATTACATCTTGCATACCCCACCATTACATCATGTATACCCACCATTACATCATGTATACCCACCATTACATCATGTATACCCACCATTACATCATGTATACCAACCATTACATCATATATACCCACCATTACATCATGTATACCCATCATAACATCATGTATACCCACCATTACATCATGTATACCCACCATTACATCATGTATACCCACCATTACATCATGTATACCCACCATTACATCATGTATACCAACCATTACATCATATATACCCACCATTACATCATGTATACCCATCATAACATCATGTATACCCACCATTACATCATGTATACCCACCATTACATCATGTATACTCACCATTACATTATATTTACCCACCATTACATCATATATACTCACCATTACATCATGTATACTCACCATTACATCATGTATACTCACCATTACATCATGTATACCCCACCATTAAATCATGTATACCCACCATTACATCATGTATACCCACCATTACATCATGTATACCCACCATTACATCATGTATACTCACCATTACATCATGTATACTCACCATTACATCATGTATACCCACCATTACATTATATATACCCCACCATTACATCATGTATACCCACCATTACATCATGTATACTCACCATTACATCATGTATACCCACCATTACATCATGTATACCCACCATTACATCATGTATACCCACCATTACATCATGTATACTCACCATTACATCATGTATACCCACCATTACATCATGTATACTCACCATTACATCATGTATACCCACCATTACATCATGTATACCCACCATTACATCATGTATACCCACCATTACATCATGTATACTCACCATTACATCATGTATACCCACCATTATATCATGTATACCCACCATTACATCATGTATACCCCACCATTACATTATATATACCCACCATTACATCATGTATACTCACCATTACATCATGTAGACCCACCATTACATCATGTATACCCACCATTACATCATGTATACCCACCATTACATCATGTATACTCACCATTACATCATGTATACCCCACCATTACATCATGTATACTCACCATTACATCATGTATACCCACCATTACATCATGTAGACCCATCATTACATCATGTATACCCACCATTACATCATGTATACCCCACCATTACATCATGTATACCCCACCGTTACATCATGTATACTCACCATTACATCACGTATACCCACCATTACATCATGTATACCCACTATTACATCATGTATACCCACCATTACATCATGTATACCCCACCATTACATCATGTATACTCACCATTACATCATGTATACCCCACCATTACATCATGTATACCCACCATTACATCATGTATACTCACCATTACATCATGTATACCCCACTATTACATCATATATACTCACCATTACATCATGTATACCCACCATTACATCATATATACTCACCATTACATCATGTATACCCACCATTACATCATGTATACCCACCATTACATCATGTATACCCACCATTACATCATGTATACTCACCATTACATCATGTATACCCACCATTACATCATGTATACTCACCATTACATCATGTATACCCACCATTACATCATGTATACCCACCATTACATCATGTATACCCACCATTACATCATGTATACTCACCATTACATCATGTATACCCCACCATTACATCATGTATACTCACCATTACATCATGTATACCCCACCATTACATCATGTATACCCCACCATTACATTATATATACCCACCATTACATCATGTATACCCACCATTACATCATGTATACCCACCATTACATCATGTATACCCACCATTACATCATGTATACCCCACCGTTACATCATGTATACTCACCATTACATCACGTATACCCCACCATTACATCATGTATACCCCACCATTACATTATATATACCCACCATTACATCATGTATACCCACCATTACATCATGTGTACTCACCATTACATCATGTATACCCACCATTACATCATGTATACTCACCATTACATCATGTATACCCACCATTACATCATGTATACCCACCATTACATCATGTATACTCACCATTACATCATGTATACCCACCATTACATCATGTATACTCACCATTACATCATGTATACCCACCATTACATCATGTATACTCACCATTACATCATGTATACCCACCATTACATCATGTATACCCCACCATTACATCATGTATACCCCACCATTACATTATATATACCCACCATTACATCATGTATACCCATCATAACATCATGTATACCCACCATTACATCATGTATACCCACCATTACATCATGTATACCCACCATTACATCATGTATACCCACCATTACATCATGTATACCCACCATTACATCATGTATACCCACCATTACATCATGTATACCCACCATTACATCATGTATACTCACCATTACATCATGTATACCCACCATTACATCATGTATACCCACCATTACATCATGTATACTCACCATTACATCATGTATACCCACGATTACATCATGTATACTCACCATTACATCATGTATACCCACCATTACATCATGTATACTCACCATTACATCATGTATACCCACCATTACATCATGTATACCCACCATTACATCATGTATACTCACCATTACATTATATTTACCAACCAATACATCATGTATACCCCACCATTACATCATGTATACCCACCATTACATCATGTATACCCACAATTACATCATGTATACCCACCATTACATCATGTATACCCACCATTACATCTTGTATACTCACCATTGCATTATATTTACCAACCAATACATCATGTATACCCCACCATTACATCGTGTATACCCACCATTACATTATGTATACCCTCCATTACATCGTGTATACCCACCATTACATTATCTATACCCTCCATTACATCATGTATACTCACCATTACATCATGTATACCCACCATTACATCGTGTATACCCACCATTACATTATGTATACCCACCATTACATCATGTATACCCCACCATTACATCATGTATACCCACCATTACATCATATATACCCCACCATTACATCATGTATACTCACCATAGTGCCAATGTAACCTGCACTCATAGTACCAGTGTAACCAGCACTCACAGAGCCAGTGTAACCAGCACTCATAGTGCCAGTGTAACCTGCACTCATAGTACCAGTGTAACCAGCACTCACAGAGCCAGTGTAACATGCACTCATGGTGCCAGTGTAACCTTCTCGTAGTACCAGTGTAACCTGCACTCATAGTACCATTGTAACCTGCACTTATAGTACCAGTGTAACCAGCACTCACAGAGCCAGTCTAACCTGCACTCATAGAGCCAGTGTAACCTGCACTCACAGTGCCAGTGTAACCAGCACTCACAGAGCCAGTGTAACCTGCACTCATAGTACCAGTGTAACCAGCACTCACAGAGCCAGTATAACCAGCACTCATAGTACCAGTGTAACCTGCACTCATAATGCCAGTGTAACCAGCACTCATAGTACCAGTGTAACCTGCACTCATAATGCCAGTGTAACCAGCACTCACAGAGCCAGTGTAACCAGCAATCATAGTGCCAGTGTAAACTGCACTCATAGTATCAGTGTAACATGCACTCATAGAGCCAGTGTAACCTGCGCTCATAGAGCCAGTGTAACATGCACTTATAGTGCAAATGTAACCTGCACTCATAGTACCAGTGTAACCAGCACTCATAGAGCGAGTGTAACCTGCACTCATAGAGCGAGTGTAACATGCACTCATAGAGCCAGTGTAACGTGCACTCATAGAACCAGTGTAACATGCACTCATAGAGCCAGTGTAACATGCACTCATAGAGCCAGTGTAACATGCACTTATAGTGCAAATGTAACCTGCACTCATAGTGCCAGTGTAACGTACACTCATGGTGCCAGTGTAACATGCACTCATATTGATAGTGGACCTACACTAATAGTTCCAGCTTGACCCGTACAGATTCGAGACGTCATCAGTTATCTATTCTACAAATCTCTCTCTTGTACTTTTGTGTCTCAAGCGGTGAAAATGCTGAGAATGAGAAGAGGAAAGGGTACTTAGGTTGGGAGGAATACTTCATGGCCGTCGCTGATCTCTCTTCAAAGAGAAGCAAAGACCCCAATACACAGGTAAGGAGAGCGCACGTCCACATTGATGAAAACGTCCCATTTCACCTCCAGCTACAATATTTGGAGAGGCTCTATTACGATGAGGTATAAGCGTACAAAATCTGTCATGTGTATTTAATGCCTCGTGTGAGGATGAACGCCCTAAGTTTTCATAATGGAGCAAAGCTTTTACAGGCGGTAAGTTATAAATTCTAACATCATCAGAACTTTCTATGAACCAGAATTCTAAACATGTACAGGCTACTACATCAATCCTATGTTACATCCTGTGTAACATCTTGTGTTACATCTTGTGTTAGATCTAGTGTTGGGCGGTCGGGTAGCCTAGTGGTTAAAGCGTTTGTTCGTCACGCCGAAGACCCAGGTTCGATTCCTGACATGGGTACAATGTGTGAATCCCATTTCTGGTGACCCCCGCCGTGATATTGCTGGAATATTGCTAAAAGCGGCATAAAACCATACTCACTCACTCACATCTTGTTTTACATCCTGTGTTACATTTTGTGTTACATCTTGTCTTACAGCTTATGTTACATCTTGTTACTACATCTTGTGTTACATCTTGTTTTACAGCTTATGTTACATCTTGTGTTACATCTTGTGTTACATCTTGTGTAACATCTTGTATTACATCTTGTGTTACATCTTGTGTTACATCTCATGTTACATCTTGTATTACATCTTGTATTACATCTTGTGTTACATCTTGTGTTACATCTTGTGTTACATCTCATGTTACATCTTGTATTACATCTTGTATTACATCTCATGTTACATCTTGTGTTACATCTTGTGTTAGATCTTGTATTACATCTCATGTTACATCTTGTATTACATCTTGTGTTACATCTCATGTTACATCTTGTGTTACATCTTGTGTTACATCTCATGTTACATCTTGTGTTACATCTTGTGTTACATCTCATGTTACATCTTGTATTACATCTTGTTTAACATCTCATGTTACATCTTGTATTACATCTTGTGATACATCTTGTCTTACATCTTGTCTTACATCTTGTCTTACATCTTGTCTTACAGCATATGTTTCATCTTGTTTTACATCTTGTGTTACAGGTCGGAGCTTGTATTGTGAACAAAGATAAGAGGATCGTCGGTACTGGTTACAACGGAATGCCCAATAACTGCGGTAATGAAGAACTACCGTGGGGCAAGGAAGAAGGTTGGGACAAGAATAAGAAACTTTATGGTATGAGATTTACTATCAGAGTAGTCTCCATTGAAGGTGAATGCCATTTGATACACTTGATATCACCATTCTCTGAATAACAAATTCATATGAATGCTAACTTTCTTCATGTACTCAATGACAAAATAATTATGATATTTTTATTCATTAAGTCCACATAAACACAGTGAGTGGGAGAGTGAGTGAGTGAACAACGAGCCACGCTATCAGGGCATGCTATGGTGGGCAGAGAGTAGTAGGATTAAGGAGAAAGTGAATTATTGTGAGAAGAAAACAGTTCGAGCCACTTCTTGTTATGAAAGTATTTATTTCCAGTCTGCCACGCTGAGCTGAACGCCATAATGAACAAGTATTCTGCTGACTTGAAAGGCTGCAAGATCTTCGTGACTCTGTTCCCATGTAACCACTGCACCCAGATGATCATTCAGTCTGGAATCCATAAGGTTGTCTACTTGTCAGATGTGAAAAAGGACAAGGACGACGTGAAAGCATCAAAGAGACTTCTGCGCATGGCTGGTGTCAAACACAGGTAAGTGATTGTTGTAGAGCATATTTACTTTCTGCTTGTACTTGAGTTGAGTTTGAGTCAAGCGACCTAACTGTCCTGATGAAACGCTATCATGACAAAAAATCATTGCATACGAATATTTGAATACCGTAATAACAATTTCATCATTGACAGCTGCAATGTGCATCTAGAATGTATACATGTATTTCAGACCATATCGAGGAAGCAAGGCCCTAATCCAGATAGAGTTTCCTCCAGATCCCACTGATGATGTGGACCCAGATGAGGAACACCATGATGATAGTGATGAGTGAAGTGTTGCGAGGTGAATTTATATGTAAACCGCTTTCCCAGCCATAGATAAACTGGCCACTCACTGATCACATTCTTCAAGTTTATAAACGTTGATGTTACTGATTGTAACCAGACACAAACAAAACACCTCTTGCTTCGTCGTGCACATATTTTACTGATTTCAAGCATCCATCCTCCCCGAGAAGGTGGTTATCCTCGCAATATAATGTTGAAACAAAGAGGCCCACTTTAGGTGATCTCTTTTGATAATGCCACTTTTATGTTACCGGGAGATTTTTCCAATTTATTCATGGTAGTATTTGGGTGGAGATTGTTTTACTTATATGCTTTTACTTATACTTTTACTTATAATTTTACTTATACTTTTACTTATACTTATACTATCTCAGCGAAAACCAGCTGCCCTATAACTCTCGAGCGTGATGATTTTGGTCCAAACCCTCCACTATGAATCAGTTAAGAATGACACAAAAGAAAATATGGAACTTCATAATAATTATTAAAAGACACTCGCCTTTTTTATTTGTTTAAATTGTGTCGTTTATTTGGGATAATTTAATTTGATTTATTTGTAATAATTACACATATCTGCTTAAAGTAGAGTAAAGAGGGTCCATTGTACTGTTCCGACCATGGCTTATACACGTGTTTATAAATCACTATCAGATGCCGGATACTGTTCCGCACAAAGGGAAAGTTGAAAATGGAAGTCTTTCTCTTTTCAAACAGTTTTGTGGATGGTTCTTTTCACCCTGAATCTTCCTGCATAGATCCAAATGTGAAACATATATGTCTTCTTTTGGGTAGACATGTGATAGAGATATTGCCTTTTCATTTAAATTACATGCCTTTTGCTATCTATGTAATCGTTGTCCTTCCACAGTTGACTTAACATGTAATTGTTACACTTTTATGTGATATGCTTGCATTGTATACACTCTCTTGCCCTTGGTGTTTTATGCTTAAAAAATAAATAAACAGAATAAAATAGGCTTTCTTGTTCTGGTGTACTAGCATGTTGATAGGGTATTTGAGTTAGAATTTAACACAGAAACGGCATTAACAGAGGCATATGCGGGGGCTAAAAGATGGGTCCATCCAAATAAACAAAATGAATCCGGCGATCTTGAAAACTGTCTGTCTGTTCATGGACATATGGCCTACCTCTGGCTTAATGTACCTGATGTACGTCTGTTTACGTGCAAGCTCTTTGCCCGAGGGGTAAATATACCCACCTGTGCAAAAAGGTAAAAAGTGGTTGTGTTTTATGCACTGGTATACTTGGGGTTGTTCATTATAATATCAATACATTTAGCTGATTTGAGTCCAGACAATGGACAGGTTTGAACGTTGTGCCCGGAGAAGGAAGGTTGGTTAGCTGGTTGGTTAGTGGGTTGGCTGGCTGGGCGCCTACGATGACACACAGTCAACCAGTAGCGGCATGATGACACACAGTCAACCAGTAGCGGCACGATGACACACAATGAACCGGGACACACAGTCACCAGCCCATCCGCACTAGGCGGCTCATATGACAAAGGGTGTGGACTGGGGCCTATTCCACGAACTCCACACAGGGGACAAAGATATGCATTTTGGGAACCAGAGCCGGGCGTTTGTCACACCTGCGACTCATTTGAAGCGACCTTCAAATTTCTAAGAAAATAAACACCGTTAGCTTTGTGTACCCGTGTAACCGCCTGACCCGACTGTTAGGAACACTTCTTCAGTCCAAACTGTGTCGTTCTGTCAGTGCTTTTCGGTTGGAAATCCAAACCGTAAGTTAAACTGTAACATAGGGTCGGGTCTGTATTAACGGTATTGAACAAGCTGTATAACATTTGTAATCGTTTGGTAAAACTTTTATTTTGCCTGGCAGTTTAGAATATTATTTTAAACTTAAATGCTAAATTATGTCAAATACTTTTGAGTTAATATTTAAACTGTTTACGCTGTTAATAATAAGGTTGATGAAGTAGTATAACAAACACATTTTTTTCTATTTCTGACATTACTTAGTATAGTATTTTCCTGTACTAGTACCACTGCAACGTTACAATAATTAGAATATATTACTTCCATTTTGTTTGCATTCAGTTTCCTGTGATGTGTCCTGATCATGTTGTTTGTTTGTTGTTAATCGCACTTAGCAATATTCCAACCATTTGACGGCGGTCTGAAACATAATCGAGTCTGGAGCAGACAATCCAGTGACCGACATCATGAGCATCAATCGACGCAATTGGGAAACAATGACATGTATCAACCAAATCAGCGGGCCTGACCACCCGATCCCGTTAGTCGCCCCTGTTGCAGAATGTATGACATAATTAAATCTGAACAAACCCTAACTTTTTTAAAACCGAGGTGGAACTTGTCATGGAAATTGTAAAAAAATCAGAAGAGTTTGGAACCTAAGTCTTTCTTGCTGCCATGGAAACGTAAAAAAAATAAATATTTCTAAAATTTCTAAAAAGCAAAAGGCACCAGTTCAGCATGTACCTGACAAACCTGCAAAGTTTCATGAAAACATATTGAACCGTTTATGAGTTATGCTCCGGAAATGAACCCTACCCTCACAGAACCTACAGTCCGTTTGACTCCAAATGAGAACGATGAATTGCAAAATAACTCGAAATCCAGAAAAGTGTATAAAACATCAATACGGTACTTGACCATAAATACCCTGTACCCAACAAAATCTGAATTTTGTTTATTTTAAGACCCATGGCGGATGAAGTTCTTTAAGAAACTATCATGTTATTTTGTGTAGAAATGTGTACATGACACGTAGGGGGGACAAACCGTGGAAGGCACAGTGCAAGCACGCATGCACTGCACGTTCTGTGGTAGGGGAAATGACAGAGCGTTAGAGGGGCCGTCTCATAATAATTTCAGTCGCAATCTGACTCGCTCATGCCATAGATCTCGTCGTCGGAACTGCTGGTGCCTGAACCGACTGCCACTATTATAGGTTGGACTGTTGCTGGCCATAGTCGTGACCAATAACGTGGCCCTATCTCGTCAACGACTGTGGCCACACAACGCCTTCATGTTTCTACTGTTACCCGACCTTTACGAGTTGTTCAACGTCTCGTAATTTGAACGTTGTGTTCGATCGTCCAACGTCACCTTTGACGATGCCCCATACCACCTCGATTGGATTCAGGTTGCAGTGATAAGGTGGCAGTCGTAAGACAGCGTGACCCTGACCCTTGATGTAACTGTCAACTTTATACACGGGGTCAGGTTTCATAGTTTTGATGATTTCATAGAGCTGTGGTTTCGTCGCTCGAGAAGGAAAGGTAATGTTCCTCCGTTGCATGCAAGTAACCATGTCTCCTTTACGGTTAGGTTGGAGTCTTGCTTTCTGGATCCTGCACACTATGATACGGTGCATTGTCCATGACAATGAGTGACATGGTAGGCAAAGCAGGGACTAATTTATCTTTCACCCACTCCAGAAATACATTGCCGTTCATTTCTGTGTGGTAGTCCCTGTTGTCTTTGGACTTGGCTCTAAAGACGAGGTCACAGTCTCGGAGAAAACCCTGATTAGCAGAACCAGCATGGAGAACTATGAGTCTTTCGCCATTTCCCATTGGTAACTTTCTACCAGACTCATTACAGTCACCACTGGGTACCCACTGACTGCTGGCTGTGTGTGACGCATTTACCCATGTCTCATCTAAGAAGACGGGCTCATATCCTTCTTCACGTTTCTGCTTGATGGTATGAAGGTAATGATTTCGGAGACGAACAATGTCAGACCGTTCACACAACACAGCCCTATTTTCTCAAGTTATCTGTTTGTATTTGTAACCAAATTTATCATATAATGGGTAGGTTTCTCGGCAGGATAAAGCCAACGGATAAAAAAGATATCCGTTGGGGTCATATGCGGATAGAGATGCAAATATCAAAGGTCAAGTAGGACTACTTTCACTGTTTATAAACAAACATGGCGTCACCCTCGTCATTCGGCGATCGAGACAGAATTAACCATCGGGAATATGGATAGTCTACAGGGATAATTGCTATCATTATCAAAAGAACAGTCTAATATACTGAAAATCAGTGTTTAACTGTGACGTAGCTAAGGCATTTTTATAAGTTTTGGCAACTTTGGAGATGTAAATTTCGAAACAATTTTGCGAGGGCACGAGGCCTAGCCAAGCGGGATCAGTAGCCATATCTGTGCTTGTAGACCTCTGCGGCTTGAAACCTTCTCCACAAATTAAAATAGTTGGATTTGGCCGAAATATGTTTCAATTGTTACCTTGTATCGTTTTGTCGCTGTGTGTACATCCGATTGCACTTCTTAACGTAATGACAGGACAGACCGACTGTCAACAACGTCTGACCGTGGCCGTGACGTCTCATAGACTAGGGTTAGAGTAGCTTCCCTTTGACCAAGGGCAGTTACTCTAGCGGACAGACCGATGGATTGCCGAGAGAGGCAATTAAAAACAACTGTTGTTTTGCGTATATGTTGTTTCGCCACTGTATAAGAAACAGATTTTAGTTGGAACTATACTAGCCACATAAAGAAACTGTGCACGGAGAAAATAAAGATATAAGGGCACACCGTCCATATATGAAATATAGGTTTGAACACAGCAATTTTTGGAGACGTACAAACGCTCATGCGCGTGCCATGCGATATGACGTCATTGATGGGGGCCCATGGACGTGCAATGTGTTACTGCACGTGCATCCTGTGCAGCTGTACACAGCATGTGCAACTCAAAATTGGCTGTCACTTTGGATAGCATGATCTGTTGTCATTCAAAAATTCAAAACTTCTCAGGCGCAGACACAAGCATATCACAAGCAAATCATGCCAAGATTGACAGCTGCACAGCGTCATGAAGCCATTGGAATGATCCGAGCGGGAATGAGGCAACAACAGGTGGCAACACATTTCCAATGCCATCGTAACACGATATCGGCATTGGTGAGGCGTTATCAGAACACAAATGACGTTGCCGACCACCCACGTTCAGGACGTCCCCGAGTAACGACGCCAAGACAGGACAGATCGATTCGAGTTACACATCTCCGACACAGGTTCCAAACGGCAGTAACGACGTCCCAGACAATTCCTGGACTGCGCCGTATCCATCCCAACACTGTCAGGAATCGTTTACCTCAGTACGGGATTCGACCACGACGCCCTGCCATACGTCCCATCCTGACACACCGTCATCGAGTCAACCGTCTAAGATGGTGTCGAAATCATGTTCGCCAACCTCGAAGATGGTGGAGAAATGTTGTCAACATTTCCCACAGTGACGGGCGCCAACGTGTCAACCGGCGTTTGGGAGAACGTTATGCACGCAACTGTATTGTGGAGAGGAATCGTTTTGGAGGTGGCTCTGTGATGATTTGGGGTGGGATAACAGCACGGCACCGAACCCCTTTGGTGGTTGCTCAGGGCAATCTCACCGGTGTTGGCTACAGAGATCAGATTCTGAGGCCTGTGGTCATTCCTTTCCTGCAACGTCATGGCCCGGGATTGACATTTCAACAGGACAACGCTCGTCCTCACACGGCTAGGGTCGCAATGGATTTCCTTCACCATAACAATGTCATGTTACTACCATGGCCTGCAAATTCTCCAGATCTCTCCCCAATAGAGCATGTGTGGGATGAAATGGAGCGCCGTCTGCGTCGTCTTCCACATCCTCCAGATAACGTCCGGTGGACTCCATGCGTCGCCGATGCTAGGTAAGGCATCTTAGAAAATGTCTTACCACAGTCTGAACACCATGTGGACTCCTTGACGTCTTACAAGGCAACTCATCTTTCAAGCATGGCTTTTCTCTTTTATCTATTTTTTTCTTTATTTTTTCTTAACTTTAACTACGAGCATGTGCACAGACATGACAGACAGACAGACAATGTAGATGACATCTCAACTCAGCCTCTACATTCGGTTCGGCACCCTATTGGATCAATCAAGACACAAAGAGTCAGTTCAATCAATCACTGTTTAATAATGAACAACAACAACAACCAGATACATAGGAAATACGAAAAGACAACTGAGGAGGGAGTGCTTTGCATGTCCCTTCAACAACGCAAAAACCTTTCATCTTTCATCTTCAAACTCTTCGAGTGAAGATGGGATCACCAAGAGATGTGGTCCATCATATTGCCCAAATAGGTTCCAAACATGTTTGGGACTCCTCATCAGTAAAACAAGTACAGTCTATGGCCTCCCTGACACAGAGATGACACATCACTTGACAACTGTTGCAGCTTGTGTATCTCAGCATATTGTTGTGCCGACAGGCATTACATTCACTTTGTATGGAAGTGAGTTGAGCTTCTACATAAGGATCGTCGTCAACGTTGTCGTCATGGCAAACCATGGCCATACCTGAAGAGATGACATCCTCTGGTGATGCTGGTGACCAAGAAGCATCAAGCAGGGTGGGTGTGTCCAGATCCATGGAAGGGAGGGCTGTCAGCTTGAGCGCTTCATGATCATCACCGTCACAGACGCATTGGGCGAATAGGTTGGCTCCCGAGGGGTTTGTTCACACCACTGTTCCAATAGGGTCTGCACTGAACTGACATCAGGGGAAGGAAGGATGGGTGTCCTGTCAATCCAACAAGAAAAGAACCCTTAAGTATACCCACGATCATAGTCATGCATTCGTGATACTCATCATCATCATCATAATGACATACACATCCCTAAGAATAGCATGGTACTTACAGATGTTCTTGATGAGAGATCTTCCGAGACAATTTCTTCCGTGGTCGCCTTTTTGCAGGTGTTGCAGGTTTCAAAAAGGATGTCTCTTTCATTTCGGTGTCTGCTGCTGCTGTTGTGGTTGCTGTTGCTGTGGTTGCTGCTGCTACAGTTGTTGATACTGCCGCCGCTGGTTTGATGGGTTTTTTTCTATTGGGTCTTCTTTATCTTCTTCTTCGGTGATACTTTCTTGGGTTCAGTCAGTTTCCTTATCTTCGATCGTATCATGTCGCACATCACTTCGTCGGCCTTTGTACGTAACTTGGCGTACACATCGTCGGCCTTTATCTTCGCACATCACATCGTACACTTCACCCCACAGTTCAGCGGTCATTTCACCGTTCCCTTCACCACTCCCTTTACCACCCATGTCGCTTCAGTGAGTGAGTGAGTTGGATTTAACACCGCTTTTAACAGTATTCCAGTTATATTGCGGCGTGTCAGCTTAATTTTGGAGGAAAGCCCGAAGTGATGCAGGTCTCAGACGTTAACCACTTTGGTGAAACCCACGAGCACGGGTATGGTGCTGACAAACCTAGAAACATAATTGGGGCGAACCGGGATTCGAACCCACAATCATAGGTTTCTGGCGTGTCCAAGGGACGCAACTCTGCACAGCGAATTGCGGCGCCTTAGACGACTGGGCCACCCGTGCCCCCCCATGTCTTGGCATTCATAAGTTTGGACATGATGTTGTCGATTCACTTTTCTGTCCATTGTTTCTTTCCAAGTCTTCACGGATGTGAGTCAACACTTGATGGTTCTCTCTCAAAACACGCGTTTCTTCCAGATAAAACGCCAACAGCCATCACAACGTGAGGAACATCAATCAGAGGGACGATGTTGTTGCTTGGACAGTTCAGTGAAAAGAGATGACCAGAGAGCGTCTGTTGGTTTTAACATGTTTAAGGCACTGAATCCCTGCTTCCTGACTGGTTGGTTTCTGTCCCACACGCCACCCCAGTGTGGCACACCCATTGTGTTTCTTTTTCAAAGGGTCAGGCTTTTAGCATGAGAGAGAAAGCACAGCCCTGGTTGCTGGGTGTCGGGGTCATGCTTTGCAAAGGTGTCGATACTTCTTCACGGCTTCATGGAGTTCTACGGCGTACGTGCCCACACAAAACCTCTCTTCGTTGGTGTGCTCACAGGGTGAGTCTGACCGGGTATCGGCACATGTGCTGCACAAAGGACAGAGCAGTTTTCCACCCGATCTGTAGGGCAGTAGCGGATTGTAGAGTCGTTTCGTGTGTAGGACACGACATTGGATTTGTCCTTTCAGCTCAAACAACGTGTCCACAGGGGGCTGATGAAGGGTTGGGTGTCCCGTGGGAAACGCTCTGGTCTTACAAATGTAAGGATAAAGTGAACATATATCGATATACCTGATGGTTTCACCTTCTTGGGCTTCTTGGCGTAATCGAGTGGCATTGGTTCGTCCTCCATAGAAGGCGTCGCAAGGGTTAAGCGGACCAGGTAAGTGGATACAGTGGGGTCCCTGCAAGAAAGCATGCAGTGAGTCCTCCTGTTGCATTTTTTAAAACTCGCATTCCCACAGGGTGATGACCCGTTTCACCTCAGGGTGTTGGTTCACGAGACTCAGGCGGTAGCGGGTGTCTGTATAACGTGATCCCCATCAACACCCAGGACAGGATGAGGTTCTCCACATTCGGTCTTGTGACATTTCTGACATCCAATCCAGAAACACCCCAGGAATTCCCCTAGGCTCGACTCAAACATTCCCTGTGTCTAACATTTAACATTGATATATTTTCTGATAGAACATCTCTGAGAATTGTTTTCAATTTCCCGGAACGTTTCTGTTCCTAGCAGTTAACGGGAAGATTCAGTAGAAAATATGCATTGTATGAATGTAATGCTGTCATCAGGATAGGAATAATCGGTGTATTGATATATGTATGAATATAGCTATGAACTGGGTATTTTACTTTTATATGTGTATCACATCGCTCATCTACTATATTTAAGGTGTATTGGGTAAAACATCATTGCAACAGTGTTAACCAGTGTGCCATATCAATAAAACCAGACACACTAAACAGACATGAAGCAGGACAACGTGAATTGAGTTCTATTTTAAGAACATCCCTCGATCAAAACATCAACACTTATTGAACTGGACCATCCCAAAGCACCATTACGAGGCGGATAAGTTGTGTTTGTGTGGGGGGTTAAAGAGGACCAAGTAAAATATCACTCTTCCATCACTTTTATTCGCCGTAGTAGCCAGAATTGTAGCCACCCATGGCGTCACCTAAAACAAATACATATAACATTTCTTATAAACATGGCCATATGGTAACAGTGTACATAAGTTATTATGGTGAAAAGCATTTCAATTCACAACAAACTTCACACAACATTATTCAGACGTAGATATTTCTCCTGTTAGGATGTTACAGTCACCAGGATGAAAATACATTTCAATTACATGAGAACCCAACATATCCTACTCTGAATAGTTCATACCAACATGGTGACAACTAAGGAATGTTATATGAAATAACAGGTTGATGAAATAGAATGATATAGTTGAAAACAACCTAATACTGATAATAAAAAATGGACAGTGATTAGATTGGTAATTAAAAGTTGAAATATTATTAATGTAGCTGCTGATCAGCACTCACCCCCAAGGAGTCTACAAACAGCTGAGACACTTCAGATGGAGCAACAAATCTCCATGGTGACTCCTATGCAGGAAAACAAAACTACTGTTATGGTTTTGTCTCCAACAATGATCACACGACACAGTCCAGATTGTGATATTATTATCAGTCTAGAAGTAAAACATTTATGTTTACGGACTAGGTTAAAATACAAAAAGGAAAACTAATTGACTGCTTTTGCAACACCTCGACATCATCATCCAAAACGACACAAGACAGTTCACAATTCCTGAAGCTAAGGGAAGTAACTCCTGTGTTTACATCGGCAACATGGTTAGTACTATCAGATTACAGTTTACTACACAAGCTAAAACGTTATGATTACTTTAATGGTAAATGGCAATAAAGTCTTTAAACAATTTGTAAGTATATAAATTTAGATGAGACGATGAAATAAACAACTGAAAGTGCACGAGGGCGATTACAAGCAAAACCATTCTAAACAAAGGGCAAAGGGAGCTAACTCGTGTTTTGCATGAAACACCGATCCTAAGCTACAGATTATTACTGGTAATGGTCTTTTAAAATCATTTTATGTACTGTGTTATACACCGTAAAATACAATATGAAAACGCAAATACATTTCCCATTAATAAATTCACTTTCAATCGGTATTATGTCAAGAATGTATTTTGGATTAGCTTCATCTTTGAGTAAAAATTTCATTATAATTTAAAAAGGTTTTATTTTTTATTTTTATTTTATGGTGTGTAAATATTTTACCTTGTTTTTCATAGATGCACTGACGATGCCACTTAAGTATACATCAGTAGATGCACGTATGTGAACACTGCATGCCAGCACCCTGTCCCCCTCAAACATCAGAGAACCTTTCTCTATGGCCTTGATATCATGGGCAGCTTGGTTGTCTCCTGTCATACGGTAGATGAAGTAACCCTCAATGATTTCTTTGGAAATGGGAGGCAGTAGTTGACGATGGGAAGGCATCAGCTGTTGAAATCCTGACACTGGCCATGATGTATCTTCTGGACGTGGGATGGAGACAGATGGCCCAACAAAATCATCATTTCTGTCATAAGATTCAAGTCTGAAATGAAAATTAAATACATTTTAATGTGTGCAACTACTATTTCAGATTTGCATAAGGGCATAATATTATAGGAAAATAATTCACATCATTATCACTATGACTAATTTATCTTATAAATGACATGCATCATGAATAAGCAATGAAACCTGTATGATTAAACTGTGTTTGATAATCTCATGCCTATATAGCCAGAAGACAAATTATTACCAGATATACTGATACTATCTGAAAACTCATTTCCTGTTTTATAAAATACCTGGATAAAAATATGGTAATTGTTAATGTGACATAGAGTTGCCAAGTTTCAATAATCATTTCATGGACACAGAAATGTCAGTAAGCACTGCACTGTACACCTATCATAAGTCATTCAGAATTTTGGTGCCCATATCATGACGAAAAGGAAGAGTAAAATATAACACTATAATTTGAAAAACGTCTATATTTTGTGAATACAACAGGTTTCAAAGTTGTATAAACCTTCTGTGTTTTACTGCCGACTTGCAAGCATTATGGGAAAATCTTCCGCCCGAAACCCCCATCCTAAAGTAATATGTCCAATGCGTTGACGCTCAGTACTTTTAATTATTTTTGAAAAAAATGTTGGCAGATACGGGCGGAAGTCGTACCGAATTTTGTTGAGAACTACGTGTCAAAACACTGCTGATCATATTCATAAATAGCCCCGCTAAACTACAAAAGCAATCGGGTGTTCGAAAACAAGTGACGTCTCAGGAGTGCGGTGAATGTTAACAGACGACGCAATGGAGACTGCGCCTTTTATCGAGGATTTATATAATCTGAGACCGGGAGCCACAGTTGGTACTTTGGTTATGGGTAACTATACAGTAGGTCATGGTTTAATGGAAGGCAACAACTGAAATATATCGATAGTTGATTTTGTCAGTCACAGTAGGCCTGACAGAGATGGCACTTATTTGACAGGCAAGAAAAGGGCCTAGTAGAAATTGCGGTGCATATCGCAGATTATGAATGTAAGCATACTTGATAACTAAAAAAATGGGTTACATACCTCTCGATCAGTTTAAGTTTCCTTCCAGCTGTCGAAGCGTTTCGTTGAAAGAGCGCACATTTGAGTTTTGGCACGGACCATAGCAGGTACTGGCCGGCCATGTTTACATAGACTTGGCTACGGCTCTACTTGAACTTCGCGCTAAATGATTCGCAGCGCATTCTAATCGCGGAACCGTCACAGAGTATGACCACTAGTACACGCACGCCCCTTGCGGATTAGTACGGCGGTACTCCCCATTCTTCTAACATATGCACCAAACAAAATAGTCACATGTCACGGGATGCGCGAGGATAGCAGTCTCACGGCGCATTGCAGTTCACAAAAAAACAATAGCAAAATACAACTATCTTGTCTATGCAAATAAATCACAAACATAACAGGGCAACAATGCAGTTTACCGGGCGCAGCCCGGCCTCTACCATCCGCTCAATTACCGCGGCCGGTGTCTCGCTATACCGTGACCGTGGCTCACGCTCCAGTGACTCCAACACCCCTTGCCGGGCCAGCACCCCTTGGGGGTCCTTAGGGAAACTTACACGTCTTTAGGGTCAAGCACCCCTTGGGGGTCTTAGGGAAACTTACACGTCTTTAGGGTCAAACACCCCCTTGGGGGTCCTTAGGGTTAGGGTTTAGGGTTAGGGTTAGCCACCAATTCTTACCTTTCAAGCGTTAATCCGTTTAATCCGATTAGAGTAATCCCTTTAGACACGTTTCGTCCCACCAGGACTCATCAGTGCAGCTTGGTTTCCCGGAGGGAAACTGCAGACGTGTTGCGGTTGGCTGTCGTTTGTTTGGGAACTGTCACTTTGGGCCGAAACACGTCAAGGCGTGGCTTAGTCTAAAAATTGAATAAAAACTAACTACAATTCTAGAAACAGCATTCAGAGCTTATAGGTGTAAGTGAGGAATTCTGGTTGAAATCGTAATAAACCTTGTTTCGACACGAGCCTCCTCAAACAGGATCTTCGCGGCTTTTACTTCCTCCTTGTCATGTTTCTTGTCCGAGTAGTAGACAACTGTCTTGATGCCCGACTGGATGATGATCTTGGCGCACTCGTTACATGGAAACAAGCCTGTGCCCGTTTCTCTGTGTGTGTGTGTCTGCCTGTGTCTGTTTCTGCTTGTGTGTGTCTGCATGTGTCTGTTTCTGTGTGTGTGTTTGTGTGTCTGTGTCTGTGTGTCTGTTTCACTGTGTGTTTGTGTCTGTTTCTGTGTGTGTGTTTGTGTGTCTGTGTCTGTGTGTCTGTTTCACTGTGTGTTTGTGTCTGTTTCTGTGTGTGTGTCTGCCTGTGTCTCTTTCTCTGTGTGTGGGTGTTTGTGTGTCTGTTTCTGTGTGTCTGTGTCTGTGTGTGTGCGTGTGTGCATGCGTGTGCATGTGTGTGTATGTAATTCTGTAATGTTAACATGTAGCAATTTTCATTATTATGACTTACCGTAATAATATTTAGTTCCCAGTTGGCTGGCAGCATCTTTTTTTTCCCAGGGGAGCAGTGTATCGCTACAGTTGTTAGGCATCCCGTTGTAACCGGTTCCGACGATCCTTTTCTTAGGATTGACAATACACGCTCCGACCTACAACTCGCCCACAATTAATACATTAGCAGTGTTAAAGAGAGTTTATCATCCAAAAATGGCTGCCACAGCCTCGGAATTTTTCCACTTTTATCAACTCGTGTTGATATATTTGATATCAAAAGACACGAGGGTGAGATTCTCTATATCTCACCCGAGTGTCTTTTGATAGCAAATATATCAACAAGAGTTCATAAAAGTTGAAAAAAAGTTTATCCACTTTTATCAACGAGTGTTGATATATTTGATATCGAAAGTCACGAGGGTGAGATTTTATTTATCATCCAACATCATTCTTCCAACTTTTTCAGTTTGTAGACAGTAACAAACAGTCATAAAACGTACTGCTAACAGCTTCAGTAGCAGATCCATTAATGATGTCTTTTTATTGTGACGTCATGGTAACCAGTAACGTCACAATGGTCTGCAAAGCATTGTGATGCAATTTCTTTGCAGCGATATCTACAATGTAGATATCGCTTGACCTCACCCAAGCGATATCTCCTGAGGGGGCCAGTTTTGGATGATAGGTGTGTCATTACACAACAGTGTCCTTTTAACTGTCAGGGGTACTGCAGGGTAGGGTACATGTCACAAGATGGACTCGTTACAGTGACCAGACTGTGTGCTACCCGACGGCGAGGGTAATTGATAATACTGTTCATTTCTGTTGACTTATGCTTAAAGTTCTTCGCAAAAACTGTTGTATTACTGCAGTGCAAACAACCTCTTTAAGACCCATAGCTTCTTTTCACTAAAAGCACGTGATATATATGAATCCCAATTTTACCTGCGTGACGGGGTCTTTGCTTCTCATTCCAGACAGAAATGCAATGGCCATGAAGTACTCCTCCCAGTCCAGTTGGCTCTCTCTCTTGCCACTTTCACCAAACTGTCTGTTGTATGTAAAACAACAAAAACCTAACAAAGTATCTACCTTTACTGGCATTTCATCTACGTACTGCACTTGTGAACAGTTGTATTACAGAATGGACTAGAGGATTACCAATAGCTAGTGCTTTGGGTATACAATGTAATGGTGGGTTTACATGATGAGAGTATCCTCAAGTGCAGACCAGTATGATAAAGTAACAGCTGGCTGTTATAAAGGAATTATTATGAATTCAACTTACTTGTCTCTATTTCATTTAGGAAGCTTCATTTTACTGACTTTCGCAAAATTGCCACACATTATATTGACTCCGAACCGACCAGCCCTTGTTTTATCCCCTTTATGCCTAATGCCAGGCAGTGTAACAGCAAGTAACACCTTTTGGTATGGCGCGACTGGGGATTGAACCAACGACATTCCTCTCTCCCGACAGACGCTATATCTACTAGACCACAAAGACTGAGCTGTTTTGCCATGAAGACTACAAGTATTAATATCAATAATATTGTATACAGAAAACCCTGCCCCATAACGGGTTCTTAATGTAGCATTAACTATATCCGATACAAACCCTCTCCCATTCAGCGTTCTAATATTGTGCATGAGAAAATATACTGCACATGCACTATCGCGTTGTAACGATTCAAACAACCGTAAATAAATCTTTCATTGAAATTCTGAACTTAATGCCTTCATATATCTGGGCCGCGTTAATATTCGGAGCGTTAGCTATTTCCACTATAAAACGAGGGGACATATCAGTTTGCGAGCGTGGGTTGTAGTTTCTATTACTTTCCATATAAGGAGGCAATTACTGCATACAGTAGCGGTCCACCAAGTAGCTGTCAATGCAATACATGGGCAGATGTGTTCAGTTGTGTCAATGCAGTGACGTTTGAGGCGAGCGGTGAAGCCATTTGTGTACTAAACATCCTGTTGCCAAGATAACATGCACGTTACTAATGATATGTCCAATACACCCTACCAACATATTTATTGTTACTTCATATTCACAATCATTATGGTTTAATCTACATTTTAATATAATTTAAGGACATTAATGTTATTTGACTTAAACGACATCAAGAGGATAGTCACCGATGTTTAGAGTCTTCATCATTCAATGTTTTTAGATATGGACACATATTAACGAAGGGGTAGCTTTGCTCAAATTCTACATGCAACAAGAACGATCATATAAAAGTGTCTCTCTAGTGCAGTTCCTGGTCTGGCTGATGTCTGTTATCAGCCTTGCTCTGACAGACCAGATTCTCCTGCTATTCTGATAATGCTTGTCCGTAATATGCACTAGTATACTCCATTATCCCCACCTCTGTAGGCGATTCTAGGAACACTTCATGGTCAAGGTAGAATTGAGATGAACATACTGTGCGATTTCGGTGTCAAATGTAGTTTTGTCCCATAAAATAAACATAGGTCTACAATGAGAGCGCTGTACCCGATCCACCATGTTCAATTTCAATGACGGCATATCATTGCTACTATCAAGTAGCTATCAATGCAATACATTGGAAACATACTTTCCGTCACAACTCGACTTGTTCAAACATCCTGGCAATACTGCATCAACGTTAAATGTTCAGTTGCAATTACCCATTCAATCATCATTGTTACATTTATCAACATTGCAGGTTGCCATGGAACTTTAGAATTCCCTGAATGTGAATTGCTGAACTTTTATGAAAGTTCACAAATGTCTTATTTAAGGACATCTCGTGATCCCGCTGTAAACAGAAGAGCAATAAATGACCTTTTTTAAAAAAATATATCTCAAACACCAATGGTATAAACACCACTCTTATATAACACATGTATTATTATGGCAATCGACGTTTACCGAGTGTTTACTGTTCGGTTTTTTTAAGCCATGGTAGTACTTCTTGTTTCAGCAAGTGCGCAGACCTGGCGTATGATCACCAACCCAGACTGTAGCTGATATATATATATGCATTCTCGCCTTGATTAGACAAATTGTGTCAAGACAGGTCCTGACATGGTGTAACAGTAAAGATACGAGCTGTGTTCGAATGGGTTATTTTGAAATTTTACTTATAAAAATACAAATTGATATCGAACAAGCATTCATTCAGATTCTCAAGATCCCCACACATGGCGACAATGGACACTGCACACAGTATCACTGGATGAACACACTGGAGAAAAGAATGTGCTACCAGTTGGTCCCCAACAAGTCAAGACTAGCAGATAAACATCAGCCCATTTTCTGAGAGGTATTATATTTTTTAAAGAAGTAAAGGTAAGTAGTATAGTGTCACTAGTTAGAGTCTGGTTTTGGTGGAGGGAAAAGTGGAAGGAGCCTGAAAGGGTCCCCAGCCTACCGGTACTTTCTGAAAGCTGAATGAATCGAACTGTGTCAGCTAGCGGTGTAGTTTAAGTTTAGCGCGCAACAACGAGGTAGTCACGTCACCCTGCATTGACTGCAACGCTGAAGGCAGCCGGATTTCGAATCACCCGCGCTGCGTTCTATTGTGAACCATTTGTATAGAATTATTCAGCCCTGTCCCGACTTGCATAGTTGATGTTTCAATGCAAGCTTTTCCATTTAACGCGATGACAAATAAACCGTGTGGTTTGAGTTTTAACCGTGTAACATGATGTGCACAGTTTTACTTCAGAACGTGCTATTTTGAAAATAGATAGTTAGAACCATGTCACTGTTCAATAAGAAACTGATAAGTACATGTAGCTGTGTGACGGCACAAAGCTAGGTTTGTTGGGAAAGTGATGGAAGCAATCTATAGGACATTTTCATGTTTACAATAGTCACTCTTAATTCGAAGAGAGAACAGAGTTTATCATGGAAAAATGTTTCACGAGGAAAATGTTTTATTGGAAATATATGTCGAAGCAGGTTTATTCATAGCTAATGTATAGCAGAGAGACTAAGCGACCGACCGCCCATAACAATGTCAACATACCCCGGCCTTACAATTAATGTTAACATACCAGCCTCGCCTGAAGCTTCCCATTCATAAATTGTGCGACCAGTGTCCCGTATTTATGATATGTTAGGGAAATTGTGTTGTACATTTGTTATTTTAAAAAGGAGTTAGTTCAGAGAGGATATATATGGGTATTCCCCTCATTAAACCTTTCTTTCGTTGGTGTCTATTAAACGTATCCGGTATTTAATACATTTGAATGATGTAGGAAAGTATGTGCGTGTAGATATTGTACCTATATCCGAACACGAATGTATGACACCTTTCAATAGATCAATTACGGTTCTAACCACGACACGCAACATGGCTATGAGCGTGGTTAGCAGTTCATATATATAAACACATCGTAAATGACATATTTCTGATGAATGAACTCGCCCGCACACATGTCTATAGGGTTATGTTCGCCCGAACTGTAAACAGTGACACATTTGATAACAGGAAGGGTGTGTGGAATGCACTCGTCCTTGTAAGGGTAAAATACGCGTTTAAACTCACCATTTAAACGATGACATTACTTTTTTAGATGTATTGGTATCAGTGAGTGAGTGAATTTAGTTTTACGCCACACTCGGCATTATTCAAGCTCTAGGACGGTGGTCTGTCAATAAACGAGCTTGGACCAGACAATCCAGTGATCAACAGCATGAGCAGCGATCTGTGCAACTAGGAACCGATGGCACGTGGCATCCGAGTCGGCGAGACTGACCAACCGATCCCCGTCAGTCGCCGATAAGCATGGGTTACTGAAGGTCGATTCTATAACCCGGCCCTTCACGGGTGTAGTATGACGAAGACTTTATACTAATATGATCGCTTTTTTAACATACTCACAAGTGTGCTGTGAAGAAAAGAGTGTCTTCCAAGATTCCCTGCACGTGTAAGACAGTATAAACTCTACAGTAGTGTAGCCCGACAAACAGTTTTACTCTCGCCAGCAAACGGATTGGACGTGAACAACATGAAGAAAGCATCAGAGATTAGACTTGACTCTAGAGATATATTTAGGAAGACTACGTTGAGAAAATCACAACAGAGAAAGAAACCACAAGCAGCCAAGAAGTCGACGCTGAAGACAAAGAAGAGACAGGTAACACCTAAAATGAAAACGATGACAACCAAACAGGGATTGAAGACAACACCCCAACCCGTGAAAATACAACATGTGTCGGAGATGAAGGCTGTGGTGGAACGGACACTTGCTGCCTTGAAGCGTCAACAGAGTCAAGGGTATAAAAGAAAGCTTCATAACCTCTAATCGCACACCGTATTGGATCACCATGGGGGTTGCCACCTGTCCGGACTGTGAAAAAATGTTTTCAAGGAGAGATGTCATGTTACGACACAGGAGAAATAAACATAGCATACCGCCGCCGCCGTTACAAGCCCAACTGCTACGAGATGAAACTATTTTCGTAAAGTTGACGGATAAAATATTCTCTTAAATATATTTTATATTCGCGAACTCGTATAGCTGGAGACCTCATGGTGTTGACACAGTTCGATTCATTCAGGGTTGCAGTTCCACACTGTATTCATGCATTGTCAACTCGAGGTCGGGACTGTTTGCTTTTTTTCAGCATCGTATATACTGTAGCTTTCAGAAAGTACCGGTAGGCTGGGGACCCTTTCAGGCTCCCTCCACTTTTCCCTCCACCAAAACCAGACTCTAACTAGTGACACTATACTACTAAGGTATCTTTGAAACAAACACACCTTATCCGCCTCGTAAAAGTACATTGGGATGGTCCAGTTCAATAAATGTTCATGGTTTGAAATGAAATCGAGGGATGTTCTTAGTATAGAACTCAATTCACGTTGTCCTACTTCTTGTCTGTTTAGTGTTTCTGGTTTTATTGATATGGCACACTGGTTGACAATGTTGCAATGATGTTTTACCCAGTACACCTTAAATATAGTAGATGAGCGATGTGATACACATATAAAAGTAAAATACCCAGTTCATAGCTATATTCATACACATATCAATGACTCGACAATGATAATACATCTTATGTGATGAAAGCATTATATTTATACAGAGCATATGTTGTGAATGTTCCTCTTTATTGTAAGGAAAGGTAGTTTTGGGGAAATTGAAAACAATTCGCCAAGATGTTGCCTCATCCACCCAACCCCTCCCCCCACAACCTTGTTCCTTCTGGCCTGTGGAACGTGACCCAAAGATAAGGTCTGTGATAACAGACGAGTTGCTCGTTACACATGTACCTTCATTTATTAATGGTTCCAACCCCAAGTACAATCATTTATTTCGTAGTACCACCTGCTGATGCTAGATTGTGTTATATTGTAAACGTAAAATACCCAGTTCACAGCTATATTCATACATATATCAATACACCGATTATTCCTCTCCTGATGACAGCATTACATTCATACAATGCATATTTCGTTCTGAATCTTCCCCTTTACTGCTAGGAACAGAGAGGTTCAGGGAAATTGAAAACAATTCTCAGAGATGTACTCTTGAAGTTCCTGTTTTTCTCCTCGATTTCGAGTTCAAGAAATTCTGTCAGAAAATAAATCAATGTTAAATGTTAGACCCAGGGAATGTGGCAGTTTGAGTCGAGCCTAGGTTATGTTGACCAAAGTATTGCAGTTACGAGCAGATCGCTGCTCAGCACTGATTCAATCGTGTAATGTTCATCCCTGTTGTGTGTTTAATAATCGAGAACATTTCGCCAGTTTGATGTCTGCATCTCCAATTTCCAATACATATAATGTTATGTAAACAACCTGTGCCAAGTTAGAGTTGACACGCGAGTGTCAATACCGGAACGCCCCGGGTTGTATTTACGTTACTGTTAACGTTAACTGAGACATTTTAAGTTTAAAGTGCTAGCAGACGTTTGAACATTGTGTAAGCAATGGCACATTTTTTTTATACAGGTTCTATCTTAAATAATATGTAAATGAAATGATATAAGGTTCCACAACGTGTGTGCCGTCAAGAACTGCATGGGACGACGGTAAAGTGACATAACTTTATGTATTAGTCTCATGTCAACGGGGATGGATATTCATCTCTTGGTGTTGTAATTAGTCAGATTATTAACTTTGTATGTGTCCGTTCATAATACGATAATATATATACCCTGCACTACACACGTAGCAGATTTCTGCAAGTGGTTAAAGTTTATCTGCGGTAACGGTATACTGTGTTGCTCCCTGTGAATATCTTCCTCCACTCATATTAATGACCTAACGTGACCTAGTTGTAGTTTACTTTTGCTTACAGTTCTTGGAAAGGGTGGATCGATATTTGCTGATCGCCTGAACAATAGACAGACATGGAGGCTGTGGTCCCAAGCAAAGTACACACAGCACGTTATCGTGTGTCCTATTTGAAATAGAAGAAACGAGTTTCCTTAAAATGTCTTAGCTATAAACATATATAGTGTTCTCGCCACATAACCGGTTGTTACAGACATTGGCAAGAAAATATTTCATCTCAGTTCTGTAGAAATATATCAGCATCTCATTATATATGTTCTTGTTTTGTTCAATTCCGATTGTCTTTGTTGTTATTTATATCTGCTAAATGTTTTCTTTGTTGGTTATTTGAAAAGTAGATATTGCTGATTTTTAAGTGACTGACATCTCAAACAAGGAGTTTGGTGTTGTAAAGTCTCAGTGAAGGTTTCAAAAGTTTTATGGCAAAAAATAAAAGTGACAAAACTATTTCCATATTCCATTGTACGGTTCCGACAATATCATGAGGATACGTTTATGAATCACCCCTTCTTGCCGAAACGTCTACCCCCATATTGTATAAAGCTGTTATCAATAAGGAAGTCCAGCATTTCACATAATGTTTTCTCAGTAAACTTCAGATGGCATTTGCTTTCATTTTGGATAAATTTACCTTAGCTTCTGAAGTTAGATATGTGACGATATCTATGGTCACTACGTTTTGTAACAAAAGCCCCATGGATTAAGGAATGAAGTTTTTTCTAAGGTTTGTCGATCATGAACAAAACTATAAAATACCTAAGATCAGACTTTCTTTGTCCTTTCAGCATTGTATAATACATTGAGAATAAATATCAACATTGTCTCGAATGTCCATTTTCACATGTACGTCTTCCTACCACTGTACACCTACAACCTACGAGAAGCTAATAATGATGTACAGCAATAGTTTATCTCTAATTGTGCCAGCTATTGTGTATATCTTGCTTTAAATTGAAAACGTGAACGCCAGGGAATAATCAGCCTCGAACATCTGCTGAAACTCCATCAGGCGCAAAAGACACATGTATAACTTAAAGTGATGACACCAGAGTTCGGAGGCGAACATGTCCTGCTCGAAACGAAATACCTTTTGAATGGATGCGGTACAATTTGACGTCTCACCACACACGTAGAGTAACAGCAAGTGTGTTGTCACACAATCCACAACATGATATTCTACCATGCTGTTAAGCTTAATAGGTTCTAGTGATACATACCTACTATGCACTGTCTTTTGCATAAACTGGTGGGTTTCTTTGGTGGTCGAGGTTCATCATTCCTGAAACCAATGAGTTCAAAATTAGTTTGTACAGTGTTTTATTCACTGATGTTCAACCACTACTAAATACACATGAATAACGTGTCATCAATAATCCAATTGCTCTTACATAATACTTTGCAGGTTTGTCCTACCAGCTAAATTATAATTACGCCTGCTGTATAACAGCAACATTTATACAAACAGTTTAAATACAGCATCAATAAGGGGATACATACCACAATACGACAGCTCAAATTGAGCCATAATAACAGTAATCACCAGCTAAATCCATCGTCTTTGATAATGCATAGAAAACAATTATATAATAATTTTATGACTTCCTGTGAATATGGTTTAACCACTCTATTGTGTACCGTCATTGAATATGGTACTACCACTCTATTGTGTACTGACATTGAATATGCTACTACCACTCTATTGTGTACTGCCATTGAATATGGTACTACCACTCTATTGTGTACTGCCATTAAATATGGTACCACCACTCTATTGTGTACTGCCATTGAATATGGTACCACCACTTTATTGTGTACTGCCATTGAATATGGTACTACCACTCTATTGCGTACTAATTTCACTCCCACTTTAACATATATTTATTATACATAATTAGTGGTAAGTTTTAATTTAGTTTTATCAGCCAGCTGCACAACGTGTATCTGTACACTGTGTGACCTAATAACTGTCCCATGAGATAGATAGAGCGCATACGTGTGCCTGATGAAGATAGTGAGAGATACAATTGGTGCAGTATCATTACTAGGATACATTGGTCAAACTATGTTGCTCCTTGGTAAACTATGCAATGGAAACTGTATTTTCTCAAGCAGATGTTTCTAGTCCAGTTTAGATTTGAAGCAACACCAGTTAATAACAAGTGGGGCATGACATCACCTATTGGTAGCAAGTTAGGTCTTGTCTCCCAATATGATTTATGTGACTAAGTTAATACATAATGCATTGTGAACAACTGACTTGCCTTTACAAAGTGTTTGTGACGGGTGCCACCGGTGGTGGAACAGGATACACTTATCTTTTCGCGAACACCATCCATAACTGTACTTTCGCCCTCACGAATGAACAGTTATAACTTACCTTCAATACAGAAGTGTGAACTTATATAGTATAGGGAAATTGATTGTTCGTATGTAAAAATAAATATGACATTACACAGTTAGTATGTTAGTTGTGGTGTTATGAGATGTCAGTGTATCTCAAACACCAATGGTATAAACACCACTCTTATGTAACATGTATTATTATGGCAATTGACCTTTACCTGGTGTTTTCTGTTCGTTTTTTTTAAGCCATGGTAGTACTTCTTGTTTCAGCAAGTGCGCAGACCTGGCGTATGATCACCAACCCAGACTGTAGCTGATATCTTTACACCTTACATTCTCGTCTTGATAGACAAATTGTGTCAAGACAGGTCCTGACATGGTGTAATAGTAAATATACGAGCTGTATTCGAATGGGTTATTTTGTAATTTTACTAACAAAAATACAAATTGACATCGGACAAGCATTCATTCAGATTCTCAAGATCCCTACACATGGCGACAATGGACAATGCACACAGTATCACTGAATGCACACACTGTAGTAAAGAATGTGCTACCAGGTGGTCCCCAACAAGTCCAGACTAGCAGATAAACATCCGCCCATTTTCTGCGAGGTATTATATTTTTTTAAAGAAGAAAAGAAATCTTTACTCCAAACATAACTTATCCCCCATAGTACATTAAAGACACGTACACGTGTACCAGAAGCAGTTATTTCGTATTGAATAACATAACAAAGCACGTATTCCAATGGCAGCGTTTCAGAGTATATGCTTATTCCTTCATCAGATGAATTCACCCGATGAAGGAGTACGCATATTCTCTGAAACGTTGTGTTGATAATAATTAAGAAGTTGACATCGATAAATTCCGCCGCTCATAACATAGCACGTTCTGAGAACCAACAAAGACGGCCAAACAGTTGAATGAAAACCACATAGTTTCATCTGACAAACATTTTTTTAGATTATCAATGAGGAAGGTGCTACCAGTTGGTTACCAACAAGCCCAAACATCTAGCAGATAAACATCAGCCCATTTTCTGCTGGGTATTATATTTTTTTAAAGAAGTAGAATAATGTTTATTACCAACACAACTTCTCCCCCTCGTAATGGTACATTGGGATGGTCCAGTTCAATAAATGTTCATGTTTTGAGATGAAATCAGGGGCAGTTCTAAGAAAAGAACTCAATTCACGTCGTCCTGCTTTTTGTCTGTTTAGTGTGTTTGGTTTTATTGATATGGCACACTGGTTGACACTGTTTCAATGAAGCGTTACCTTGTACACCTTAAAAGTAGTAGATGAGCGATGTGATACACATATAAAAGTAAAATACCCAATTCATGTTTATATTTATACTGATATCAATGACTCGACAATGATAATAAATCTGATGTAATGAAAGCATTATATTTATACAGAGCATATGTTGTGAATGTTTCTCTTTATTGTAAGGAAAGGAAGTTTTGGGGAAATTGAAAACAATTCGCCCAGATGTTGCCTTATCCCCCAACCCCTCCCCCCACAACCTTGTTCCTTCTGGCCTGTGGAACGTGACCCAAAGATAAGGTCTGTGATAACAGACGATTTGCTCGTTACACATGTACCTTCATTTATTAATGGTTCCAACACCAAGTACAATCATTTATATAGTAGTACCACTTGCTGATGTAATATTGTGACCAATCAAATTCAAGTATGACGAACTTCTGCCTTCTCTATAAAATGTTTCAGTGTTTTGTTCTTACATGTTTTTGTGCCCCTATTGCTTCTGCTCCTGTTTAAAATGAAACGTTTCTGTTTTCCACTCTTTTGCCTGTTGCGCCAAACGGAATCTGTTTCGGCAGATAATCGATTGTTCTCGTTGACGTTCAGTATCTAACCTTTATGTCGCCATCACCGCCCCTTGCGAAATGGTGGAAGAAAACCTCTGAATTATTTTATTACATTTTCTTCATCATGCTTTTGGTTTTGACTCAGAGGTCCATCCATGGCACGACCCAGAATAAATAGAAGGCGTCATAGCAAATGATAAATGCAAAATTCTTTGGAATAGGCCTCCAGACCTGTCCAGGCCATCAAACCTGATCTTGTCCTTTTTGAAAATCCAATGAAATCATTCATATCATTCCGGTCCCTTTTTTACCCTTATATGATTGACAAGATTCAGGAACAACATGGCAAACATGCAGACCTCGCTTTCGAAATGTCACGCTTGCACGATAAACGATAACGACAAGATTATGTAGGGGGAGACTTTGAACTGAAGAGTCTAGAGATTGACAATCGCGTGTCAACTCTAACGCGGCACAAGTTCAAATAACACTACATGTATTACATTTACGATCATTATTTAGTTGCTAAAACAAAACTTTCTTGACCCTGACGAGACTCACCATGAGCGGGCGCTACCGATAATACAGTACATGCATACCCTTTCCGAGTTCTAGTAATCCATTCATATATTCCTTCATCACTAGTTTGCTTTTTACACCCGATGGCATACACGTTGCGTCAGATAATCGAGGCTAAAAAGTACGTCACTGATCGTCATGGTAAATATCAGACATAATTAAGAGCATTGTTTCGAATTATTGTACGTGTGTGGCATAACATTTTACCACTGTTGGTCCAGATAACATTTAAATCAAGTAAGTCAGACTTTACCATCTACTGTACATACACAACTGTGCCATGTAAATAATGATTCTACTTACCGAAAATATGTTTGTCCCTTGTATGTATCATATTTTGAGGCGCTTTTTCAACAACGCCCCTTATGATATTAACTTTCCTTCTTAATACCCTATATCATGGATTAGCATAGCTGTTAAAGACTGAAATCAATATGTGAATAAGTTCTGCTGTATTGTAAAATACTAAATATCTGTCTAGATTGAACTCATTTAAAGACTGCCTGTTTTTATTTCATGACAACAAATAATTCATGATTAGCAGATAGTCTTTGTACCCTCAGTGACTTTTATTTTGATGTAAGAATGTGTACAAAACAAAACAAAACAAGAATGGTGCATTTATAATGAGATGCTGATATATTTCTACTGAACTAAGATTAAATCTTTTGCAGCAAGTAAATACACAAGTGAATTTTATTTTCAATAATCAAAAGAAATCTCTAATAAAAGCAGAGCCAGCTATATGTCTACTTAAAACATTTTGAAAGCTTTGCTGAGGCCTTGAATCATGTTGCCCCGATCAAACAGCTTCTGAGAAAGAGTCGTATGACGTTCTTTGAAATCTTGGTAGAAAGAGCATGCTCGATTGTATCCCATAAGTTGTGAAAGCCTGGAGCTGTGGGAATGTGTGTTGACATGTTGTAGCCACCCTAATTTTCACTCTGAATCTGTATTTATTTTGATTATAACGCTCCATATCGAATAAGCAATTCATTTGTACAAACTTTGAATGATACACTTTCTTTACACGCCTGGTGTCTTTTCATGTATTTGGCGACAACCCTTTCAGTAACGTTCGTGTGAACCATCAGCTAATGCAGATCAGCCGCTCACAAAGGCGCATCTGTTGCATGATCTGGTCTAAACTACCTTCACCTGCTAACGTTGACTCTTGGTTAGTTGAAATCAACCCTCTTGTCATATAGTCTGGTGGAGTTTGATTTATCACTCTGAATATTTATACATAGATCTAAATATGAAACAAGTGAGGCCGGTTATCTGGCGAGAATTCTCAACAGCCCACTGTTGTCTATTGTTGAAAACGTGACGTAGTTTTAGTTTCAGTTTGCTTACAGTTCCTGGAAAGGGTGGAGCTCTTTCCGCTGATCGCCTCAATAATTGATCAACATGACCTCATGTGGCCTAGGTTAGGTTTACTTTTGCTTACAGTTCCTGGAAAGGGTGGAGCTATTTCCGCTG